AAAAATAAAGCAAATAGCAATAACAGAACATAAGCATAAAAAGCTACTTTGGTGGCAGGGAAGACCAAGACATAAACTCAGAAGAAGATAACAGTGTGAAAACAGCTACAAACAAAGTCTACAAGAAAATGCTAATTGGACCCAACCCCAACAAGAATTCCTAGAAGAGTTAAAGAAAGAGTGGTGGAAGAAAAATAAGGAAAAGAAATGGGAATTATGCAAGAAAATTATGAAAAGAGAATTAACAGGTCCTAAAATTAACAGTAAAAGAGGCACAAAAAATGCTAAAGAAAATAATAGGGGCATCTAGGTGGTACAAATACTGGACCTGGAATCAAGAAGACCTGAGTTCAGATTTGGCCTCAGACATTTACTAGTTGTATACCCCCAGGTAAATCATTTAACCCCAATTGCCTCCAAAAAAGAAGAAGAAAGAAAGAAAGAAAGAAAGAAAGAAAGAAAGAAAGAAAGAAAGAAAGAAAGAACGAAAGAAATTGAGAAAGAAAATAGCACCTTAAAAATAGAGTTGGCCTAATGGTAAAAGAGGCACAAAAATTCGCTGAAGGAAAGAACTTAAAAAGCAGAAGAGGTCAAGTGGAAAAGGAGGTACAAGATCTCACTGAAGAAAATGATTCCTTAAAAATTAGAATTGGGTAAGTAAAAGCTATTGACCCCATGATATGGTATGTGAAAGATGAAATGACTGAGGAAATGAAGGTCAGATCTTCTGAGCGTGTTGATATATTAAGCAATGCGTGCCAGTTGCCTAACAAAGTGGGACCAGACCTCATCAATTTAGGCCTGATCTTGAATACAGGAGGAGATAGACTTTTATACATTAAAATCAATTAATCACATCAAGCCAATTAATTAAAAGGAAGCAATACAACATTAGGTAACCTGATTTCTAATTGAATGAAATATTAGAGACTTTTCCATTTGTTATGGTGAAGGTAAACAGGTGTACTTCCCTGAATTCAGAAAAAGAAATGTCCTACTCCCTCTACCCCCATCCAACTGTCTGTAAACAATCAAAGAAATGTGGAAACAATTATTTATTGATCAGTGGGGCCAGTTTTCAGAAACGACACATTGGTTGCTTGAGATGTATAATTGTGAGAAAACTCCTTGTATCAATCTTTTAATCTGACTAGGTTTCTGGTCGGCATCACATAAGTCCTTAGTTAAAGATCTCTAAGCAGCAGGTAGGGGTGGTTTAGCTTCCCAGCCACAGAGGGCTAGGTTCAAACAATGCAGTAAGTTTTCTCTCAATTCCCACAACTGAATAAAGTTTTCAGATAAGACAGAAATTATTCTAGACCCATGACTGAATAGAAAGGGAACTGAGGTAGCTCCAGCATTGCGTCATAAGATGGAGTCAGTGTGGTTCACTCAATTCCCACAATTAACCCCTGGAAAGAGAAAGGGGATGATAAAAGGGAGGGTAGATTAAGGGAGGCTGTGGTTAAAAGCAAAATATATTTTTGAGGAAGGACAGGATAAAAAGAGAGAAGAAGAAGAAGAAAAAAGAAAATGGGAGACAGGAAAACACACAGTAATCATAACTGTTATCAGGAATGGGATGAGCTCACCCATGAAATGGAAGTAGATAGCAAGATGATTTAGAAGCCAGAATCCAATATGTTATTTTCAAGAGACGCATTTGAAACAGAAAGACGCATAGAGAGTTAAAATAAAGGACTGGAGCAGGACCTAATGTGCTTCAGCTGAACTAAAAAAAAAATACAGGAGTAGCAATCATGATCTCAAAGCAAAAGCAAAAATGACTTGATTAAAAGAGATGATCAGGAAAACATATTTTGCTAAAAGATATAATAAACAATGAAGTAATGTGAAAAAAATTACAGCAAGTTTCTCTAAGGCCTCATTTCTCAAAATATACTGAGTATAGAACTAAGTAAAATTTATAAAAGTAAAAGCCATTCCCCAATTGATAAATGGTCGAAAGATATAAACAGGTAGTTTTCAGAAGAAGAAACCAAAACTATCTATAGACATATGAAAAATAAATCTCAAAATCACTATCGACTGGAAAAAAGGCAAATTAAAATAACTCACTCCTATCAGAAATGATAAATGCTGGAGGGGATGAGGGAGAAAAATAGGTACACTAATGAATTGCTGATGAAGTAGTGAATTGCTTCAACCATTCTGGAGAACAATTTGGAACTAGACCCAAAGGACTAAAAACTGTGTATACCCCATGACCTAGCGACAGCATCACTAGATCTGTATCCAAAGTGACCAAAGGAAAAGGAAAAGGACCTATATGTACGAAAATATTGGTGGCAGCTTTCTTTGTGGTGGCAAAGTATTAGAAACAGAATGATGCTTTTTAATTGGGGAATGGCTGAACGAGTTATGTCATATGATTATGATGGAATATTATCGTGCTAAAAGAAATGATGGAGGGAAGTGATTTTAGGGGGGAAAAAAACCATGGCATATAAACTGATGCAAAGTAAAGTGAGAAGAACCAAGTGATCATTTTGCACAGTCACAGCAATGTTGTGATGATTGTAGTTGTGGTTTGTCACTCTCGAAGAGGACCATGGCATCAGAGAGATGATGACATGACTTGCAATTGACTTTGATTTGGGGGAGGGAGGGCTGTGCAAAGTCACCAGCCTCACTTTCTCCTCCAGAGCCATGTGGGTCCAGTGGCCAGATATCGATTAGGATGACTAGAAATGGCCTGGGATGCAGTGGGAGACCTTGGCCCTTTTAAGCTAAGGTCTTTTCAGGTTCTCACTTGGAGTAAGGCAATGTCTATTTAGCTACTCGAATCAGTAGGATAACCCAAGATAATTCCATAGGAGTCATGATGACAAAATGATATCCACCTCCAGAAAGAGAATTCATGAACTCTGAGTGCAAATTGGAGATGACTAAGTTGGACTAACCATAGGTGTCAAACACGTAACATTTCTGACTGTGACCCAGACTAGACTGAAATTTAATTGGGAAATATTTAACAAAATAAATAAAAATATAGTAGAATATAGATAATGTTGCTTCATGATTTTCTAAGTGAATATTCAGCCAATGGGCTTATATTTGAGGGAGTGGTCCCTGTTTTATTTGAGTTTGATATCACTGTTGTTTGGATGATTTCTGTAGTCTGTTCTGATTCTTAAATCCTGTTATTCTGTGTGCTTGAATGAAAAAATAATTTGACACCTCTTAGGAGAGGTAACATTTCTCAGTGTATATATACTTTATTTAAAAATACATGCCAAAAAAATCCCCTATATAGCAAGAAAAGGAATCATAAGCATATATGTGGTGAAATGGAAATAACATAGCATTCAAATTGAAGGAATACAGGACCAGGGTTTGAAAGTTAGTTCTGCATATTCACTGTCTATGATTGTAGGCAAGTTACTTTACCTTTCTTGGACTTCAGTTTCCTTACCTGTAAAATGGAGAGAAGGTTGGATTTAGTTTTTTCTCTAAATAATAATGTTTACAAGTATTGCTATTAAAGCTCAACATTTTCTGATCCATACCTTTTTTATATTGTAAACAACCTAATTGTTACTAATTCAAATTAATAAAAAAAAAATTAAACCAGCTAGATAGTTTCTTTCCCTTAGGGAGGTTGCCCAAGGAGATCATCATATCAAAAGGAATATTATTGTCATTGTGTTTTTTTTTATTTTGGGTTATTATTTTTCTTGCTTTATTTTTCACTTTGTATAGCTTTCCTCAGTAAATATAAAATTGTGTAACTGTATACAGTATGGAGAGATGATGTTACAGATTGAAAATAGCCATTTCAGGCATTTGTAAATCAATGTGATCCCAACATGTGATAACCATATGCCCATAAAAAGAATCAAGAGATAATATAAAGGGGAAAAAGGGTATGCTGTGGGGAGAAGCCTTAACCACTGAGACAAAATTATGTTTTGTCAGGAGACAAATCATTTTCTTGTTAGATAAAAATGTATCACAAAAGGAGTTGCTTAAGCAAACAAGCTAATTAATGTTGCTTCTGTATCATTGTATATATTTTTAATCAGCTAAAGCCCTCAGGAGAGAAAGGTCTCACTAAAAGCAACCTGATAAAGCAAATGAAGATAGGTTTTTCATTTCATTATTTAGCGGTAGTGTTGATTTCCTGTGGTAAAGACATAGTAACTCTTACTTGTCGAGTAGTTGATTATATGTGAAAGCACCGTTTAGTCTGTATTTGGCTTATCAGGGATCAGATTACCATAGATACAGAAATGCCAGCTTTCCTTTTTTGTTCCACATGCATGTAGTATCTGAAGTGATATTATTTTAGAAATGTTCAAGCAGTATAAGAGCTTGGCTTTTCATGGTTCTACTTCCTCCCTAGAATCCCACTGGAGGCTTTTCTTTGGTAGAATTATGTAAAAATGAAAGCACATACAACACAGTAAAGGAAGGTATTCCAACAAGTAATATCATTTTATATTCTCTTGGATTTCACAGTCTACAACAAATCAGGTTTGTTCAGTGTGTGCTTTGCCTGATGCCCCATAGGACCTAGGGAATAAGGAAAACTTCCATATTGGATTTGAGACATGATGATGGTTAGGGGGGACAGATCTAATAATTACAGCTCTGAGCAAAGACCCCATGACATCACATCACAAGTTAAAAATTTCAGTCATTTGTTCGGATCTTCTCATACCCTCCATTGTCACCAGTCAGCAAATGCAAAGCACTGGGAAAGGCACATAGTCTAGATCAATGATTTGTAGATATAATCAACACGCAGTAGACTCTTCCTAGCATGTTAATTTTGTCTGACTTTGTACGGTTTGCTGATATATTCTTTAATGTTCTCCCCCCTTTGGTGTTCAGATTTGAAAGCATGGCTCACTTTTAACACTTAAGCTCTTATTAAGGGATGTGTAGTGATGAAATACTGAAAAATAATTAGCTATCATCAAATCTCTCCTCTGCGTTGTTGGTTGGAACATGACATTTGAATTGACTTTTTGCAGAAGGAACAAGAGAATGCTGAGGGAATGGAATCTGGCCTGGGACCAGATGGGGAGGTAAGAATTTCTACAGCCTCACTATGACCTACTGAATGGAGGCAGGTAGGTGGCATGGTGAGGATAGAGAGCTGGATCTGCTGGGGTTAGGAAGACTTGAGTTCAAATTCAGCCTCAGACATTGCTGGCAGCATCACTTGACCTCTGCCATAGTTTTCTCATCTGTAAAATTGGGATAATAATAGAACCTACCTCTCAGGGTTGTGAGGATTACACAAGATAATGTTTGAAAAGTGCTTTGAAAATCTTAAGGCTCAATATAAATGCTACCTATTGTTGTTGTTATTGTTTTCGTGCTATGAATATTTTCTGCCCCTTACATTAAAATAATGTGAATTTAAAATTTCATTTCCATGTCAAATATAAAATGGCAACATGTGAAATATTTAATTTTCCATGTTTTATAGCTGTATTTAAAAAGAAAAAGCCAACACCAGCAGAAAAGGTTACTTACTCGCCAAAACCTATTAATAGAAAAAAAAAATTAAAGGAATGCATATGAGAAATTATGAATATAAACGAGATGGTGTGAGAAACAATGCTTTGTGTTAGAACCCTCAGAGCCTGCACTAATTTATAAAGAGCCAAGCCATGTCCCAAAATGCCAAAGAACAGCCCTATGTTAACAAGGAGAGAGTGAGCCAATTTAGCATGTAACAAGAATACAGACGTTCTCTCTTCTCAAAATGAGTCACTGCTCTTGGACATGTGATACATATTGCTCTGTATCTTAACAGATCCTCACATGTTATATGAGGGTTTGCAAAATGAACGTGCCTTGTGCACAATCTGTTTGGTAAAAGAGATGATAGAATAGAGCTCCCTATGCGAAGGATATGATTTCAGAAGTTCTGCCTTCTAGAGAAAATCATTTTGTTTCCTTTCGGGCACGACATAAGCAATAACACAAGCTATATTAGAATGGTTGAAGATAATGAAGTAGGGTATTTTCATGTGAAATGATGGTAAATGGTAGATTTTCTTCTTTAACAAGTGAACTGGTACCTAGTTGCCCTTTTATATTAACACGGGAGGGATGGTCATCTTGCTCTGCAGGTGGTTTTCATGGCCAGTATTGGCATGAGACAGCAAAGGGATAAGATGGACTTAGGTGCTTCTTTTCTTTGTAAAAAGATTCTTTTTGTGGAGCATCACTACTTATAGTATTTGTTCATCTGCCATTGATTGATTTCTGATCTTTTTCTTTTTAATTAAAATGGTTTTGTGAAAAGTAAATCATAATTAGTGGATAGTTTGAATTATTATTTTTTGGAAAAAGACCTGTTTTATAACTTTCAAGTAATAAACTCCTCTCTAATCAAGAATTTCCAAACTGATTTCCTGCATGACTAGGTTTTGAGAAGACAAGGTCATATATTCATTTGCAGTATCCATTTGCATGGATATAATGCTCACTCCAAATCCCAAGGAAAAGAGCTTATTCTCTTAGGTGGGCTTAAACATGCCTCCTGCAATTTATTTACATGCTTAGTTTTCTTAGCAAAGAACTTAGAAATAGTTTAGTCATCAACTTCAGTCAAAGTTGTTTGTGTTCATAAATTCCAAATTTAGCAAAAGTACTAGCACACTTAGTTACGTGATGCTGAGGCAACATAATGTAGAGCCATCAGCTTCAGATAAGAAATCAGAAGTAAGTGGCTCAGACCTGGCACCAATCACAGAACTTTTCTGAACCTCAGTTTTCTCATATGAAAAGTGGAGGTTATGCTGTTTATGCCTCCTAACTGATAGGGTGACTAGAAAACAAAAATTGTTTTGTAAAACATCACTTACTGCAGAAGTATGGACTACAGTCATGGATCCTCTGTTACGTGTTAGGGAACGTGTGGGACGATGGGAAAGAAAACCAGCCTATGATAAACAATATGGGAGCCATTACAAGGTCTCAGATGGGTTGTGGTACACTTTTGTTTTCCTTCTTTCTTAGAAGTCATGCTTGTAGTTGCCATCAAACGGTGACATTTGTCTTCCCTTGTTAGCCAATAGATGAAAGCAGTCAGATGAGTGATCTTCCTGTGAAAGTGACTCATACAGAAACTGGCAAAGTTCTTCTTGGTCCTGAAGCTCCTAAAGCAAGTCAACTGGATGCTTGGTTAGAAATGAATCCTGGGTGAGTTGTTAAAGCAAAAAAAAACCCAAAAAACAAAAAGTGTTTTTGTTTTGTCATTCAAATGATGTTACATTTCATCCATGTTCTCTCATCTCTTTAGATTTTGGTTGACCTTTGAACAGTACTTGAACTGGACTTATGTCCACCTCCCTTGAAAACTGATATATATCCATGTTTGTTACCAGCACATAGAGTATACATAAATATTAATACATGAATCAAAAAAATAATCTTTCCTTCTGTCTCTTTTTTCCCATTCTCCTGTAGTTATGAAGTGGCCCCTAGATCTGATAGTGAGGAGAGTGATTCTGAATATGAGGAGGAGGTATGTATCTGTATTTCTTTTCTGTATACTGGTTTGACAGTAGGTAGGGAAGGAAGCTTATCCTTGAATTCAGTCTATGTCTAACTTTCTACCTCTCCTGTCTCTTAAAATCATTAGCTATATCCAATTTAGAGATAGCTCTGAAAGACCATTTGCTGATGCCAGATGGCTCACCTGTATCTCACTACTAATGGCATTTTTGATCAGTTGGGGCTGCTGGGGCGACAGCAAACTCCATCATTTCAAAACAGTGATGTGGCACCATAAAGAGAGAAAGCTGCCATCAAGATGAAGTGACTACAGAGGAATTTGGGGACAGCTGAAGGTAGAGAAAAAATTGACAGGGAAAATAAGTAACAGAATCCTGTGGCTTTTAAGAGCAGTTCATGGAAGTCAAGTTCTGCCCTTTCTTTAGGCATCAAATGATGCTTAAGATTGGGGAACTTGGGAGTATGTGTAGGAAGCTGGGAGAAGTCCCTAGTTTGACACCTCTTCCTTCTTGTAGGATCCTGAGACTTCTTTCTAAAAGGGCTTAATGTTTCTTTTCTTTTTCTTTTTTTCTTTCTTTCTTTCTTTTTTTTTTTTTTTGCTATACTTGCTTCCCTAAAGAAATATTTTATTACTCTCTTGGAGATAAATAACACTAATTGCACATCCAAAAAGATAATTCTGGAGAATTCAGTAGAACTCAAGGAGTAGTAACAACATTTGGTAGAAGTCTGACTTTTTTTTTTGTTTGATAATGGTTTTTCTTATTATGTTTAAGCTTGATCTTCATATGAGCTTAACAGAAATCCACCTGTAACACTATGGGAGTAGAATTCAGCATGGGAAGAGGTGGTCTTGAACCTCTCAAGGGGCCTTCTTTATTTATATACCCAATAGACCTCATTATAAGTAGATTTCCTTATGAGGTAGTACTGTAGCATAGAAACATATGTAAAAGGAGACTTAGAAATAAATATCAAGAATTTACTAGGCAAGGTGCATTTTTATGACTTTGCCCTTCTACTAATTAGCCTGTACATATAGTTGATACAATTAATACTTTTTTTGCTATTTAAAGTGAATTGGTAAGTAGCTATTTGAAAAGTGGCTCTAAGAGTTTCATGAAAGACTTGACTGACAAATATGTTTTAATCTTTTATTTTTGCATTTTAAGCATGAAATATAGATAAGAGGCGACTGAGGTACAGTTGACTGGGAGTTCAGTACACCTGAGTTTAAGTCCTAACTCTATCACTAACTGCTTGTGTGACTGGGGAAGTGAATATTCTCTGCTTTGGGCTTATCTACCTCATCTAGCAGGGCAGCTAGGGGGTGCAGTGCATAGAGGGATAGGCTGGGAGTCTGGAAGACTCATCTTCCTGAGTTCAAATCCAGTCTCAGATACTTACTGTGTGACCTTGGTCAAGTCACTTAACACTGTTGACCTCAGTTTCCTCATCAGTAAAATGAGCTGGAGAAGGAAATGATAAACCACTCCAGTATCTTTGCAAAGAAAATCCCAAGCGGGGTCATGAAGAGTCGGACACGTCTGAACTGACTCAACGATATACCTCATCTGTAAAGGGGGGAATTGGACTTAAATGATGTCCCTGAGTCCCTACTGTCCCTGACATTATGTGAAACCTATGACATAAGGTAAAGTTGGAAAATTTAATGAAGCTTTGGAGCTCTTGAGGTGAAATAATGATTAGTTAACCGAGTTATTAAAAGTCTTGCCTGAAATCCTCAGAAACACCAGCTATTAAATAGGAGAATAAATATGGCCTGAAAGAATTTTAAGTGATACAGCAATGATAAACAGCTGCTCATTTTAGATGATTATGTTTTCCTGGGAACCAAGAACTGATCTTGGTAACCACGGTGGCTCTTCAGTCTTGTGATCTCGTCATTTAAAGGAGTGGGGAGAATGAGCTCTTCCCCCCGATTTAGACAGAAATCTCTCTGAGTTTGTCTTGTTTGTTGGATTTACATCAGCATATAATGTGATGTGTTTTCAGAAAATGAGCATGATAGTGAGGGTTGTGCCCAAGTACCACTCTTCTAGTTTCTGGATTTCTTCTTTAGGATGATGAAGAGGAATTGAGCAGGCAGGAAACAGAGGAGAAGATACTTCTTGATCCAAACAGTGAAGAAGTTTCTGAGAAGGATGCTAAACAGATCATTGAGTGAGTAGCCATGTGCTCCCTTTGCTGAAACTGGGAGCTTTAGAATTGGCACATTGTGCATTTTCTTTAAGAATTCTTAAAACCTCAAAGTGCTGACCTGAACATACCCATGTGGCACGGATGTCTGAATGGAATTCCTCTCCTCTTTCTCTGTCTCAGGACTGCCAAGCAAGACGTGGATGATGAATACAGCATGCAGTATAGTGCTAGAGGGTCCCAGTCCTACTATACCGTAGCTCATGCAATATCAGAGAGGGTAGAGAAGCAGTCTGCTCTTCTCATTAATGGCACCCTAAAGCATTATCAGGTAAAAAATGTGGTTTGGATTTTCTTTGTGAGTGGAAAAAGAAAGTATTTCATCTATTTTTTTTTGACTTGGGTATATATCTTACACACGTTAAGTGCTGAATGTTGGTGCTGCTGCTTGAAGACAAATTGTGTGAAAAGAATTTGAAAGTTGAAAATGACCTATAGTGCTCAAGTATGGTGACAAATCATTCATCTGGGAGGCAGAGTGTTATAGTGGATAGAGAGATAGACTGGGAATCAGGAAGGCCTGAGTTCAAATCTTCCTTCAGACATTTATTACCTCTGTAACCTTTGGCAAGTCACTTTCATTCTCTGAGCCTCAGTTTCCTCAATTATAAAAATGAGGAGGTTGAGCTGGGTGGTCTGTGAAGTCCATTCCAGTTCTAGATATGTGAACCTGTGTTGCTGTGACCTCTAAGGTCCCTTCTTGCTCTAAATATATGATTCTAGGATTCCTTTCCCAAAGTACTGCAGTGGGAAATACTTTTATTTATCTTAGAGGTTGAGAAATGACTTTTGTTTGAGGAAATCCAGTGTATGCTTTGTAGGAATATAAAAACATAATAGTTTGTCTTGTAATAAACTCCACTTTCCTCTAAGGAGAAAGCCTCGACTTTAAACTTTTCTGTCACTTGCTGCTTTCATGACAGTGACTCAGTCTCATTTTTCTCACTGTTGTAAGCTAATTTTCTGCCTTTAGGGCTTTGCAACAAATTTAGTTTGATGAAATGTTAACTTAGCATTTATTTCAACTGATGGGCAAATTGAATCCGTATGCTCTTTACCATGAAATTCAGAGTTATGTCCTATCAACACAGGGAATATCTATTACATCATAGGTCATAGAGTTAGAGCTGGAAGAAGTGATCCTTAGAGGTGGCTGATGCCAACTCCCTCATTTTACAGATGAAGAAACGGAGGATCAGGAGGTTAAGTGACTGCTTTTTACTAACGTGAGATTACTATTTTGTATAAGCTTAAGTTTGACCTACAGTGTCTGTGTCGTCCCAAGTGCATTTGACATTTACTGGATTAGAGTTTTAAGTGACATTTAGACTATCAAAGGGTGAATCTTTGCCATTTTCAGTAATCCCATTTGCTGAGGGGTCTAAACTCCTTAAAGTACATAATTCTTTATTATCCCGCCTGGGAACTTAGTTTAAGGAGAAGTTAACCAAAATGGTGACTTCACGTCTTAGGCAGAAGCACTTACCCACTTTAGCCACCAGCAGCAAGAAGTAACAAGTAAGAGGGAATACAAGTTGTTTATTTAAGGCTGTGGAAGTAAAAGTGAAATTAGGTAATAGTTCTAGAAAGAACTGAGTGTGCCAACACCCTGTGTTCTTGCTCTTTCTAGATGAGTGAAAAGTAGGTTAATAGTGTGTGCCCTCAGCAAAACTTGTTCTAAGAAGCAAACAGTTGTTTTCCTGAGTAATGAACCGGAGAAAGACCAGTTTTTCCCTCCTTCGGCCTGATTTCCATAAGTTTTTAGAGGGGGCCCGTTTTCTTCAAAGGCCAAATCAAAGTAATGAAATTAAAGTATAAAACAACATTTGGCTTGAATTTTATGTAATATTCAAAAGAACCTTATGCTTTCTGGACACCTTGATAGTTGAAAGAGCGTGTTCAATCATTACTTTGCAATATTAACTGATTAATTTGCACTTTAAGAAATGGGGGAAGAGTATGAGAACCTAGTATAGGACACACGTGTAAAACCCACCTTGGGCATCTGATTACTCTGATGAAATGAGTGAATATATCATGATTCCTATTTTTTTTTGTATGTGTGTGTTTGTATATACTCAAAATGTAGCCCATACCACAGTGTTTTCTAAGTTCTTTTAATCATGGGACATGGGATTAAAATGCATGGAAAGAACATATATATATAATATATATATATATATATATATAAGTCTTAAGGCATGTTACTGGGATAAAGGGGCTCAAGAAATGTTAGAGCAAAATGATTTTCATGCTGAAAAAGTATCATGTATGAGAAGCATTTTTGACACTTTGACATTTCATATGTTTTATTTTAGAAGTGAAATATTACTAGCATTGAAATTGTTCATGAAACCTCAGATAATATTCCATGGAGTATCAGGATTCTATAGATCAATACTGAGAAAACACTGCAAAGGCAACTCTTAATTATCTGCTTGAGGATGATTGACACTCTTTTTTTACAATTTCTATTTGCTTTTCTTCATCATCTTGGAGGTATTTGGGCAACACCTATCATTACTATCTTTCCAGTTCCTCCCATTTCTTTCTTACACAAACTCTATGATATAGTCAAACTTGACTACATGCCATTTCTTGAACACACCTTGTGTGTTTTGCTTCTACATTTATACATGCTGTTCTCGCCAACAAAATTAAATTCAAACATTTTATTAACTACCTGCAGGGTGCTGAGCACAGTGCTAGACAGTGGACTAGAGAGGACATTTGGAGACATTAGGTAGAGGAATGCTTCCCCCACATTTGTCTACTAAAATTCTACCCATTTTTCAAAACTTAGCCCAAAGGTTACCTCTCATAAGGCCTTCTCTGGTCATACCATCCAGAAAAATCTCTTGTTTGAACTTTGTACATCCCATATAATATCATTCTATATATTTGTATCCCCATCACCTCCCAAAGTACCTGGCACATAATAAACTCTTTTAAAATGTTTATTTATTATTTATGTGCATGTCTTAATCTTCCTACTAAATTGTAAGTTTCTGGAGGTCAAAGACCTTGAAAACAAATCATTTTCCATTAATTTTGTATCCTCTTTGTTTGGGGGCAAGGCAGCAGACTTTTCTCATAGTAGGCACTAAAAGATTCATTGAATAAATCACTTGGTTTGCCCTTACTAATTTCCAGTACTTAAAGGATCCATAGTGATTTTCTTAACGTGGGGTGTTCTTTCTTTCCACCAATGGTTATTGCAATTCGTCTATGTTTTATCATTCTGTTGACTTTTGACTACATCTTTCTATAAACCTTCCATAGAGACTCTATTCACTGTGCTGGAGCACTTCCTCTGGTTCTTTTAATATTTTATGGCTACAGGTGCAACATTTGGGCTGTTTGCCTGTCATCCCTCATTGTCGCCCTATGAATGGCCCACCTTCTTTTCTGGTCTTACATCTTTTATGCCACTTCTTCCATACAAATCATGGTTGTTAATAACCTACAGCTTATTTACATTCAACAAGAATCTTTCTATCATCCTTCGGATCACCTACAATTGTAATTCTTTTGAGATCCTAGTATTTCCATGATTTATAGCCCTATAGTCTCACTAGGTGAATATTGGTGTAAAAAATATGGGCTCTGATAGCATGGAACAGTTTGGGACCATGGAATGCACTGCACTTTCCCAGATGTGATCCCACTTTGATTTTCTATTCATTATGGACTTAGAAAAGCTGGACTAATATTAATATTTGTTTATACAAATTATCTTTAGGTAGTTCAATTTCCTACACAAAAAAAAGAATATATTTCATAAAGATATTTTACAAAAAAAAATGCAAAAAAAATTGAGATTAATTTTTTTTGAAAAAACAAGCTTTTGGATTTTTTATACCTTTTTTTCTTTCCCTTTGTGTGAATGGTTGAGAATTTCATTTAGTATGTACTAATTCTTTTGTATGCAAAAAGTATATTTTACATAGTGCTGTTCAGTCAGCTCCCAATTACCTGACCATATGTTATCCACATTGCAGATTTTCCATGCATAGTTGTATAGTTCCATTTCCAGGAAGGAGTCTGTGACCCTACCCCCAGGATGGTGTTCCTGTGCCTCCTGGCAGAGGAAATATTGCCATGAAAAGAAAGATGGCTCACTGGACAGGTTCTCTCTGATTTTCTGTCACCTGTGCCAAAGACCCTTTCTGGTTTGTTTATTTGTTTGTTTTAAAGAAGTGTTGGATTTGGGTTCAGGGCTCTATGTTTGAAATAATTTTAGAATTCCATAAATTATGGGATGTTAAGTGAGAATGAATAAGAAAGCTGCTTAAAAATCCTGTCAGCATGCCACAGTAAGTAATTCCAAATCTGATTAACACGCAGCACCTGCCAAACAGTAATGATTATTAAAAGCTTATATTTTAAATGATTTTTGTGCTGGTGTTTCCCCATGTTCCTACGGTGGGAAACCCCAACCTACTGCACTAAGGAGTTAAGAAGTCAGAGCTTCACTTCATTTGTATTAGTATTAATTACCTGTGCAGATCTTGGATAATTGAAGCAATTATTCTTCATTTCAGCTCCAGGGCCTGGAATGGATGGTTTCACTGTATAATAACAATCTGAATGGAATTTTAGCTGATGAGATGGGGCTAGGAAAGACCATACAGACGATCGCACTCATCACTTATCTGATGGAGCACAAGAGACTCAATGGACCCTATCTCATCATTGTTCCCCTTTCGTAAGTAAAGAATTCCACACTTATCTTTCTGTGCTTTGTAGATCAGCCTATTAGCAGCTTGCCCTTGTTTTACACGTAGTGGTAAAATTCAGTGAGCAATCAGATAATACATATTCTGAATCTAAATACTCCCCCTCCCCCTCCCCCAAAATCACTGCTATAGGCAGGATCTATAGACGGAATCAAATGCTTTTATCAGCCATTAATGTTCCATCCATTCAGCATCCACTGTTATGGTATAACTTAGTACTTATTCCTGAAGTGATCGGCTTAGAAGGAAATATTTTTTAAACATTCTCTCAGTTTCTAAAAGACTAATGCAACAGATTACAGTGTTAAAGGCCTTTAGCACTTGGTAGATGCTTAATAAATGTCAAATTGAATTGACTTCAGTCTCACTTGATCATATTTTTAAATGTACCATCCTAAATATTAATATCTTACATAGCTGACATTGACCTGAATCGTAAGCATCGCAGTACTTGGAGCTGTGTGCTTCTGTGGTGTGTGTGTTGGTGTGTGTGTGAGTGTGTGTGTGTGTGTGTGTTCACATTCATGTGTGTGTGTGTGTGTGTGTGTGTGTGTGTGTGTGTGTTCACATGTCATGCTATATCATTCTCTTTGTTGAGTTTTTGCTCATTGTTTTCATACATTTGAACTTGAGTAAGGATAAAGTTATTTTTTCCTTCTTTATGTTAAGTTACAGTGTTATTTAAATAATAAACCACCATGTATATATAATCATATAGTGATTTTTTTCTCTCTTAGATCAGAATATCTATTGTATTAGGAATGTAAGGATTATTTAGAGGTGGAAGGAACCTGCAAGGTCATCTAATCCAATCTCCTCATTTTACAGAGTAGGAACTGAGGTCCAGAGTGAGGGAATTGTGGGAATTGAGTGAACCACACTGACGCCATCTTGTGATTCAGTTCTGGAGCTAGCTCAGTTCCCTTTCTGTTCAGTTATGGGTCTAGTACAATTTCTGTGTTGTGAGAAAACTTTATTCACTTACGGGAATTGTAAGAAAACTTTGTTGCATTGTTGGAACCTAGCCCTGCATGGCTGGTAAGCTAGACCACCCTTACCTGCTGTTTAGAGACCCTTAACCAAGGACGTAGGTTATGCTGACCAGAAACCTGGTCAGATCCAAAGACTGATGCAGTGAGTTTTCTCACAGTTATATATCTCAAGCAACCCATGTGTCTTGTCTGAAAACTGGCACTGTACTAGTCAGTCAGTTATTGTTTCTTTGTTCTTTTGATTGAATATAGACACTTGGAGGGAGTGGGACACCTCTTTTTCTGAGTTCAGGGAATTATACCAGTTTACTTTCCTCCTTCCAACCTAGAGAGCCCTTAATCTTTCCACCAATTAGAAATCAGATTACCTAATTATATACCCTGTTTTGTATCTTGCTTATTGTTATCTTGTAAAGCACAAAAATTATCTCCTCCTATATTCAAGGTCCAGTGCCAAACTGAGGAGACCTGGCCCCAATTTGTTATGCAATTGGCATGCATTGCCTAATGAGTCTTTATGCTTGGAAGTTCAACCCTTTGTTTCCTCAGTTATTTTTGATTTCACCACCACAGGAGAGATAGTCACTTCTCCAAGATCCCACAGGTGGCAGAGCTGAAATCTGAGTCCAGGTCCTCAATTTACAAATCCAGCCCTCAACTCTGACTCTATGCTGCCTCATGACCTCAGCATTCTAGTTATATTTTTTAATCAATGTGCTTCTGGAAAATATTTTCATATAGGACACAGATTTCAGTCTAGTACAATATTAGAAAATTCTTCATTTATTTTAAAACACATCAAAGAGCTCACTCTCTCTCTCTGTGGCCCTCTATCTCTGTCAGTGTTTCTCTTTTTTCTCTCTCCCTCCTCTTCTTTCTCTTTCTCTCTCTCTCTGTCTCTCTGTCTCTCTCTCTCTCTCTCTCTCTCTCTGTCTCTGTCTCTGTCTTCTCTCTGTCTCTCTCTCTCTCTCTCTCTCTCTCTCTCTCTCTCTCTTCTCTCTCTCCTTCTCCACGCCCCCCCATATACATAGACAAACACACACATACACACACACACATATGCACGCACACACAGAGGCTTCTTTGTGGAAGCTGTTTACATAGCATTGTACTTTTTGGCTTTTTTTTTAAAAAGTAGTCACTTTCAAATTGTCAATGTATGGTTCTTGGGAATTCAACATTAATTCTGAGAGTTCACATTCGGCCAATATCTTATTGTTAATTTGCTTCCCTTTTCAGTAGCTATATATGGGTCGCCTTTACTTTGCATGAGATTTTGGGGGGCTTTTTTTTCAAACAGATATGTAGTGTTATAAGAGAGTGTTTATAGTATTTATCTCAGTTTCTCCTATTGCCCATATCATTAAAAATGAGTGTGATACATGGTATGCTAGAGGACTTTATAAGGGGAAGGCTGCAAATAAACAAACACACTTATGACCACTGATTCATGCAAATGCTGTGTCTTTTTTTTTCTCTTCTATAGGACTTTATCTAACTGGACATATGAATTTGACAAATGGGCTCCTTCTGTGGTGAAAATCTCTTACAAGGTTTGAAATGCTGCTTTTGTATACAAATCTGGAAAAGTAAAAATAGACCATATTTTCTTCATTCCGTATGCACATCTGTGAACTGTATTTGGTTGTAAAGTTTTGTCATGTACATCATGTACTAAACAGTGAGAGTTAATCATCCCAAGAAGATTACTGTAATAAACCATAATTACTTTCAGATAGTGAAATGCTGAAGAAAATTGTTAATTATCATATTGCAAGGTTTCTGATGAGAGTAATACAAATGATAAATACTGCACATTCTGTGTATTGCTGAATGGTTCACTGTCAGGCTCCCGCAATTCCAACTGTTCCTATAAAGTCAAGCAATTACCAAGGACACTCGCCTGCCTGCTGCACACTTCCATAGACATGGCGCTTTTCAGTCCAGCAGCCCGTTCTCCACAGCAAGGTCACTGTCATTTTCTTTACTCTCATTCCTTTTTTGGTCTTCAATGGGCAAAGCATTCTTCAGGGCCTGGAAGAGTGTCCAGATGTATGCCATTGAGCCAAGCCCTTCATGATAACACATGTGTTCAGTCACAGTTTTGCCCTCTTCAGCAAAGATAGTGAGAAATAATGGACAAATACTTGTTTCTTTTCAGGGCACTCCCGCTATGCGCCGCTCGCTTGTCCCCCAACTTCGTAGTGGAAAATTTAATGTCCTTTTAACTACTTATGAGTACATTATAAAGGATAAACACATCCTTGCTAAGGTATGGTTTTCATTTCTTTTATGTACAATTAAAGATCACCCCTTTAAGGTTCCAATAATTGGAAAAAACAATATTTGGATCATTGTATGGCATGTGCTTATTTTTAAGAGTAATATGGCCATGGGCTTTCTTTTACACTTACTTATCTATTCTGAGACTATAGGGATAACTAGTTTTCTCTTCATAAAATTTCACATGGATTCCTTAGTGTCACTTCTTTTCTAATAACTCTGAACCTGCTAGTGGCAGACATAATTGTTTTTGTTGCCCTGGGGTTATTTTCAGAAGTGCAGATTCATCCCTCTTGTTTCCTTTCTCTCTCCCCAGCAAAGTTAGAGCTTCTCCATATGGTTGTCTCCCTATGAACAATTATCCTGGCTACAGCTCCTATGCTTTTCCATTTTCAGATATCACCTGGTAAAAGTTGGGCTGTTGCTCAGAATTATTGATGCATTTTCTTGCCTGTTTATTTGGAGCTACGGTAAATTGTTTTTACCTTAGACCCAATCTTCACTTTATTTTGAGCAGCCTTAAATTAGCATCATTTTTGCCAGCCTTTAAAGAGAACACTATTTTTAAAATTTTTATATATATATATATAATTTTTTGATAGTTAATAATAGCTTGCATTTGTGTAAGGGATTTTATGTTCTACAAAATACTTTCCCTGCTAGTACAAGTATTGTTATTAACCCCATTTAACAGAGAAATAAACCGAGGCTCACAGAGGTTGTGTGACTTGCCTAACAACGTATAGCTAGAAAGCATCAGAACCAGATCTTGAATACAAAGTCTTTTTATTCTAAGATCAATATTTAATCCAGTACATAACACTGCCTTTATTTAATATATAGAATAATTGATTTACAAATAACTTTCATGGAACACATATTAAAATCATCTTTTCATTTTTAAGTATTACCCTTCCTTTGTGTTTTATTTTTTAACTTAGAAATATAAATGTGTTCATGATTGCTGTTCTACCCTCTGTTAAATCTTTGCTCAAAAAGCTGAGATTTCCTTTAAATGTGTCATATGAGAAAACAGAATTGAAGAAACATCCTCTAAAGAGATTGGGCAGTTGAGCTGGCAATGAATATACTATTGCTTCCCTGTTTTTTTGTCATTGAAGAAGAATTTGGCCATCAAAAATGAGACCTTTTTGTTATTATTACAGAAAATATTTGATGATGTGATTTCTTTTTTCCTAGTTTGTCTTTCACACAAGATTGTCAACATTCTTTAGTGATTTCTGGCAGCAAAATATATTGCCTTCATTTTGAAACTGAAGAAATTAATTCAGTGACTTTCTCAGAGGTCACAGACCTAGTCAGTGGCAGAAAAAAGGAGGAGAATTAAGGTCCCTTGATTCCTTTTCTAGTTCTCTGTAAACTAAATTACACAGGAATATAGTCTAAAATGTAAATATTATTCTACGTGTGCTTCTGGCTACCAACTGCTTTCTCTGCTGCAGGGACATGTGGGACAGCTAGCAGTAGTTGCTATATACATAACATTTTAACACTGATCTTGTGATTTGTAGAGGAGGTAAAAAAGGGTGTTTAGCATCTTTCTAATTGGATTTCCTAGCCTGACTGCTTTTTATTTCTTTCTTTTCCTGAATTTATTTGTAATGAGGAAGAAATTTAGACTATCCAATCTTTCACCTATATAGTATGAGATATTTCCTTTCACTAGAAGGATTTAAGTCTTCCTAGAGAACTTCTGGTGCTCTGAATGCCATTGCTGAGCATAGCTTAGAAGAAGAAGACAGGCAGAGAAGAGCATTCCATAACATTCTGGCATTCAGAATCTGATTAGCACTGTGGAATGGTATAAGAGAAAGGAATGATGTGGGGGCAGAAATGGGAGGGTGGCCTGGGTATGCATGTTTGCAAGCTCAGCCTCCTCTCTTTCAGGTAAAATCTGTTGTTTATCTCTTATGTTTCCGTGGTATGAAGGATAGAATAGTGGATTCGGGATTAGGAAAGAATCTCAGGTCAAATTACACTTAATAATTCTATGACCATGAGTAAGTCACTTAATTTTTCTAAGCCTTAGTTTCTCTACCTGTAAGATGGGTCATGAGGATCAAATTTCTTATACTTGTTTCTCTAGTTCCCCCAAAACATCCATATTCTCCAGGGTTGTTTTGGCATTGCCTTTTCTTTCAAAGCCTCTGTATCTTCATCTTAGTTTTTGTTTTGTTCTGATTTTTTTTTCTGAGCAATAAAAAAAAAATAGCACAGCCAGTCCATCAGCCTAAGACAAAGTCTTGAAACAGAGATGGCATCAGCCACAAATGCCTTGTTAATAAGTTACCGTGGAGTAGTTGGCCTCTGAGACTTCTTGTGCTATCTACAAAATGAATGCAGTAGGAATATGAACCTTCTCAGCTTCACTGGAGGACATAATTACTGTTTGGAACAGGCTTTATGCCATAGTAGAAAGAGCACTCCACTGCTAGGAGCCTGGGTTTAAGTAGACCATTTATTTGGAAAGATCCTTCCTTCATTATTAGGAAATATGACAACATCTGTTGCAGAAGAGGAAGTTTGGGCTGTTTACCTTTTCACACCTCGTTTTGGCATGATAGACAATCTACATGTTTAAAGTATTTGTAATTTTCAGAGTTCACTTAGATGTTATTCTTTTCTTACATTGATGTAGATCCGGTGGAAGTACATGATAGTAGATGAAGGCCACCGAATGAAGAATCATCACTGCAAGCTGACTCAGGTCTTGAATACCCACTATGTGGCACCAAGACGAATACTCCTGACTGGGACGCCCTGCAGAACAAGCTGCCCGAACTCTGGGCCCTCCTCAACTTTCTTCTTCCCACCATTTTTAAGAGCTGTAGCACTTTTGAGCAGTGGTTTAATGCCCCCTTTGCCATGACTGGAGAAAGGGTACTAGTTTAGCCTTTTATTTTTCGTAGCAAATAACAAAACATTTGGTTGAAATTAAATAGACTTTCTTACAGAGGATATCAAAATACACAACAAACGTTTGCCATGTGGTTATCAGAGAAAGACTGTAAATAATGACCTCCAATTTGAAATACATTATGGGAATGTTCTAATTTCAAGTAAATTGTTCCCAAAAAGACAATTTTAATAATGTGTGGTACAATCTGACTGTATGTATTTATGCAAACATCCCCAGCAAGAAGCCACTTAGGCTTCACAAATATTCTTGATCAGTAGGAATATTAAACATGTGTAAGCCAGAGGAAAGATGAGCATCTGACCTGTTGAGTAAGTTTATGGGTCATTTTACTACTAAACTTAACCAGGAAAAAGATGTCAAGCATTTCTACCTTCAAACCATTTGTTGCCTTTCCAAGCCATGCACATAAAGTATTTATGAGTCAAATCTATCTATTCAGCTCATTTTCTGCCAATTTTGTATAAAACCCCGTTCATTTCATTTTGACTGGCCCAGCCTAAGTTATGTATGTATATGTACATTAGAATGAGTCCTCTGAATATTTGGCTAAAACAGCTGTCTCCAAACATTTCCATTTCTTTCATTTCACTAACTGTCTTGACTTATATAGTCCATATCTGAAAGAAAACACACTGTTGCAAGAAGGAAAAAAACACAAAGCCTTGTGGGTGGTGCTTTCTTAGCAGCAGATGTAGATTACCACAGCAAGACATTTCAGGGAAATTATTTGGCTTGAACTCTTCAGTTCTCTCATATGTGGGAAGTTTTGCATTTAGTCAGTAAGATCATTGGATTGCACTTATGTAAACAGTGAAACCAATATGGTGGGTAGATTTTTAGAAGTCCTTAACTTAGAATCTTCTGACAGATAATTTTTTCCTCTAGAGCAGACCCGTGAGAGGCAGAGGAGTGAAAAGGGGGTTTTATTTTTTAAAAAGTAAATGACTCTCAGAAGAGTCAAGATAAAGATAGGGATAAAATGGAGGAAGTCATGCCTACAATAATCAGTAATGCCAAAAATAATCTGACCTCCACGGTCATCTTGCCCTTTTCAGGTTCAATGCCCTATTTCCCAAGTACCTTTCCATATATTTTGCTATCTCCTATCTCCCACCTTTCCTATCCCCAGAAAGATTATATTTTTGCAGTGACCTTTCTAAAGCTCATTCTTGCTTTAAAACAAGCAGTATCCTTCTAAAGAACCCAATTCTGTTTGAACATTAAGAAAAACAAACACACATATTATTATATTACATACTGTTGTAGATAATCATAACTGAATGGGCAAAGGACACACTTGGGCTGATTATCTGATGTTTTTTTAAAATACTAGCCATGTGTAGAGTTGGACACAGTTACCTGTAGATAGTAGTGATTTTGGAAAGAAATGATCGATTATGTGCTGAAAACTCATTATAAAAAGGCTATTTTGTAGCATGATTTTTAAAAAGAATAAGTAAAATTGGTGTTGTACTCACTATTATCTTTTTGTAGGTGGACTTAAATGAAGAAGAAACTATATTGATTATCAGACGTCTTCATAAAGTGCTGCGACCGTTTCTGCTGAGGAGACTGAAGAAGGAAGTGGAATCCCAGCTACCAGAAAAGGTGGGGGGCATATTGGAGAATTTTGAAAATACCAAATTAACCTCCCCAACTCAAAATTGTGATTCTGAAACAATTTATTCATAAAAATGCTATAGTTTAATCACAAGTACCATTAGAAATAAGATACGAATGCTTCATAGTCCTACAAAGCACAAGAAGGTCTAATGTGGAGAAAAGGGCTAAATTATGGACTTTCCTGGCTGACTTTTTCAAGATAGGGTGCCATTTTTACTAAATAATTCCAGGATCTTAAATTTGGAAGTCACCTGAGATGCCATCAAGTCCCACCAGAACCTATACAACAATCTTTTCTGCAGGAAATCCAGTGAGTGGTCAGTCGACTTTAGAAGTTGCATCATTTAAACCACAAACAAGTTATTATACAAATAGAGTTACTGAAACTATTCTTTAAATCATGTATCATTTTCTTCTCAGTGAGTGATTCTCTAAAGCCTATATTATGTTTTCATTTTAGATTTTAGGTGCTTTCCTAGCATGTTATCATTATCAAAAAATCATTGAGAGTATCCACAAGTATCTGTCTATTTGTAGGACTTTACAGGGTCATTCTACCCATAAATCTAGTAGAATTTTTAGTATTAAATGTCTTACTTTACTTAAGGTCACAAAGAACAAAATTAAACCTTGTACAATACCAGGCTCTCCTTGTATTTATTAAATATCCGATCATGATGATGGCATTGAAAGAAGCTTGGTTGTATATGAAAAATTGTTTGAAGTTTGTTAGCCTGCAAATGGCAGACACATTCCATGACATAATTTGAGCCCTACATAATGAAAACTAAGTTTCCCATGAATATTTTATCTTTAGCTTAGTCGATTTTACCCTACCTGCATTTTCATTGCTTTGGAGAATCTCTGTACCCTAAATAAGCTTCAGGGTTTGTTTGTTTTTTTGGTTTGATTTAGGATTTGGGGCAAATGTGTTTCTTAGTATATGCCAAATTCAGTACAGTTGAAGAAAATAACTTTTAAACTCTATCAAATTTATCTACATTTGGAGTTCAAATAAGTTGTCTTCTTCTAAAATTGATTTGCCTGCTAGAGTGTACTATTTGCTTCATGAAGTGTTTTGATGTGGGTTTCTCTTTTGATGGGCCAATTTTGAAATGTTTTATTTTGCATCATTGTATTCTTTGTATAACACCTCTCTTTTTAGACAGATTGGCTCATCCTGTTCACTTTAAGAAGGATTTGGCATGATATTGTACAAAAGCTGCTTACTTAGCTAGAAGATAAATTCTCTTACCAAATTTCCTACTCCTTAGCAATCAGGGAATAGTGATAACGAAAATGAAAATGGTGTTTACAACCCCTTTTCCCCCATAAAGACTGAATGTACAAAAATAAAGGTCTTTCTTCATGTACTCTTTTCAAAAAAAATTTCCCCAATTACATGTGAAAACAATTTTTAACATTCATTGTTTTTTTGTTGTTTGTTTTGAATGAGGCAATCAGGGTTAAGTGACTTTCCCAGGGTCATACAGCTAGTAGTAAGTGTCGAGTGTCTGAGGCTGGATTTGAACTTAGGTCCTCCTGACTCCAAGGCCGGAGCTCTATCCACTGCACCACCTAGCTGCTCCTCATTCATTATTTGTTTTTTTTTTAAGTTTTGAGTTCCAAATTCTAGCCTTCCCTTCCTCCCTCCCCTCGCCCTTCCTTGAGACAAAAAGCGATCTGATATAGGTTATACGTGGGCAATCACATGAAACATTTCCGTATTAGTCATTTTGCCTTCAACCCCATACTGTGAATTCATGACAAATTATTGATCTTCCCTTTGAATTTCTATGGTCTTTGTTACTTTAGGGTCATAACCTCAGTGTTCATAAATGAGTTCAATTGCCTGAAAAAGGAAAAAGTAAAGAGCATGGTTTATTAGACTTTACTCTTTAGCTAGGCCAAAATTGCAATGAAGCTATTTTTTAAAAATCCCTGATGTGTCATCTCTAAAATGGTCTGGAACATTAGGGGCAGCTAGGTGGCACAATGGATAGAGCATTGGCTCTGGAGTCAGGAGGACCTGAGTTCAAATGTGACCTCAGACATATAGCATTCACTTGCTGTGTGACTCTAGGTAAGTCACTTTACCTCAATTGCCTCGCAACCAAACAAAAAAATGTAAAATGGTCTGGAACAAAGAAGCCATTAGCTGTGAAATTTGTTTTTTGTGCCAAATTACATAGGTCTCTTCATGGTATTTTTGCTGAAATAATACTACAAGATAAAAAAATATTCAACAAAAAATTTCCTAGTAGCTTTTGTTCCATGAAATCTCCTGGTCTTATTTACTGGAATCTTTTTAGGACTGTCTGGGACTAGAACTACCTGATTTGTTTTGAATCTCATAAGGAGTTAATAACATACTCTTAAAAACCACCATATAACTAAAGCATGCACCTGAATAACTTTAAGCTAGCTGATTTCTCTCTTGTGGCTACTAATTGTTTTTGTTTACTTAAAGATTTAGTTCTGGCTTAACATTTCAGGAACTGCACCTATTACCAAAATTTCTTTTTACCTTGTTTATATCTACATTGTTTATAATATCTGTGTCATATTGATAGGATAAGACAAACTTTTGTAATTGTCTGACTTCTTTACTATTCTCATTCACTGCTTCCTCCTATTTCTCACCATATTACTAGCTAAAATATGGCTCAGTCATTTTCACTGGCTTATCCCATTTTTACTTCCCCTTCTTGCTATAGAATTTTATCCATTTCAGTGCCAGGAAGATAACGTGATGTAGTCTAGTTGATAGAGAGCTGGTCTCAAAGCCAGAATGACCTGCCTTTGACATATGCTGACTCTGTAACTCTGGGCACCTGACTTAAATTCTCACTTAAATTCTCTAGGATTAGTATCTAACTCAGAAAGAAACGGGCCATTAAACCAAGGAGCCTTGTATGTTAATGTGATTTCTCTTCCATTATACTTTTATTTATTTTGTTAAGTATTTCCCAATTACATTTTAATCTGGTTCAGATTTCTTGTGGGCTGTGGGCCCAGGGCCTAGCGTCTGACCCCTCTGCTCTAGGCAGCTCTTTAAAAATATTAGTTGCAGAGAAGGTGCTGATCTGTCTTAGTGGAGGCAGTTACCTGGCCTGGCAGCTCCCCATAGTGGAGAGGTCACAGGGCCAGTCCCTGTCCCCATCATCTGCCCTCCTCACTTGGTACCTTCTGCCCAGCTCTGCACCCACATTCTGCCCTCCAGGATTCCTTTTACAACAGCTGCCTGCCGTCATTCCAGGCTTGGGTCCAGTGTTTCCCATCTGTTCTCTATAAAATTTTATGTTTAAAATGCTGAACGGTTCCATCTCTCCCTACCATAAGTTCCTCATATTATATATGATGTATGAAGATTTTAGAAGAAATTTTTAGAGGTGTATATAGAACAAAACCATATATTATATGCAGTGGTAGGATCACCCTGCTTGCTTTTGTTATTCTGGTGAAGTGCATTGTTCTTAACTTTGCATTTGATAAAATGTATCATTACATATATAGTTCTCTTTAAAAAAAAATTTTTTGGGGGGGAAACCAATGGGGTTAAGCACCTTGCCCAGGGTCACAGAGCTAGTACAAGTCAAGTGTCTAAGGGCAGATTTGAACTCAGGCTCTCCTGACTCCAAAGCCAGAGCTCTATCCAATGTGCCCCCTAGCTGCCCCTGGCACGTATAGTTCTGAAAAGGCTGGTTTACCTTAAGCTATTCAGCCATATTATTCTCTCATACTCAAAGGAAGAATTTCCTTAGTATCTTTGTGAGGGGTGAAGTCATTTATACACTATATTCATATACTCTGGGTCAAAGTCAATGTAGCCCCTGCGTAGTATGAAAATAGAACTCAGAAGTGAGGCATCAATGATGGTAGGGGAAGGCAAGCTTAATAACATTTTACAAAATTAACAGTATCCCAAGGAGGGGAATTCAATGGGAGAAATAACTCATCTGTAATATATTCCTATAGCAAATATAAGTAATTTTTAGATTATCCACTTGGGGTGGGGATCAGACAATTTTAGAGATAGAGGGGAATTTAGACATCATCTAAGTCTAACCCCCTACTTTACAGACAGTAAAGGCTCAGAGGCCTATAGAATGGAATACAGAGCTAGGGACTGGTCCAAGGCCACACACCTCCTTTCTCAAAGTACAGTAAGTTATTAATTGCCTATGCTAACAGTAAGAAAAATGCAGGATAATTTCTTTTTCAAGGTCTAAATAGTAATGTCTTAGGTTTAGGACCTCCCTCTGTAGGTGCAGATTAAAATTCTCTCCACATTTGAATAGGCGGGCTTCCTGGATAGATCAATGAATAAATCAACTAGATATGACCTGGACCACTACCCTTCCCGTCTCAAAAATTATTACTATTTGGTAACCAGCCCTCTTGACTTAGGTAGGCTGGGCTTTAAACAACAATATAGTTCATTGTTAGGAGTGTACCCTATGGATCTTTGTCATCTAGCTGTGGGGACAAGATATAAACACATGAAATAGTTATATAACAATGCAGGGCAGTTTATGTCAAAAATTCATTTCAATTATATAAATACTTATTAAGGATCTACTGCGTACAGAGCACTTTGCTAGAGAATTGGCAAAAATCCACAGTTCACCTCAGGCAAGCACCTTACCCTCATGGAGTTCACACTCTAGCGCGGACATATCACTCAAACAAAAATACTTTGTACCAAGCAATATGCAATAGGTGCATTAGAGAAAATGGGAAACCACATACTTTGTGCTTTTAAGGGAAAATTAATTTGCTAACTAAGGAAAACATAAAAGCCTTTATTGAGTTGGTAGAATTTGAGTTGTATGGTAAGTTCATTAGGTGAAGAGAGCACAACAGAAATGGGGGACAGTGTTAAGAAAGGCACATAGGTCACAATGTGCCAGGCATAGTTTGAGATTCTGAAAATAGTCCAAGTTGTTTGTAGCATAAATCACGAGGAGGAAGATGGAGATAAAGCTTGAAAGGTAGGGGGGCATGAGAGTACGGAAGGTCTTGAATGTCAGGGAGAGGCATTTGAACTTTTTTATTTTATAGGTAGTAGAGAACCATGGACAGATTTAAGCGGAAGGGTGACAGGACCAGTTCCATGGATAAGGAAGGCTTATCTTACATAAGCATACACTTCAACAACAATAAACAAAAAAAAACCACACAATGTATTAATGTGCAAAGCACTGTCCTTGGATGCTTCTGTTAAAAAAGGAAATCATGCCTGGCCTCACATAGCTTTTATTTTACCAAAAAGGATACTGTCAATACATTGATAAAAATAATATAAATTATGGACTAGTGGGGGCAAAGGAGAAATCCATAAAACGTGCTATAGAAAAAAATGTGAGGAGAAAAGAGAAGGGCAGCTAGGTGGTGCAGTGGATAGAGCTCTAGCCTTGGAATCAGGAGGACCTGAGTTCAAATCCAGCCTCAGGTGCTTGATACTGTGTGACCCTGGGCAAGTCACTTAACCCCAACTTCCTCACAAAAGAGAGAACACTTTTGTAGAATGAGGTTTTCACAGAAGAAGTGACACTGAGACTGAGCCAAGTAGGAAGAGGAGGCTCCCAAAAGGTAGAGATGAGGGAGGAGTACAAGTAGGAAGAGGAGGCTCCCAAAAGGTAGAGATGAGGGAGGAGTACATTTCAAGCATGAGGACGGCCTGGCCAAAAGCAAAACATTGCATGTTGAGTTTGGGGAATAGCCAGCAGTGTTGTGGGTCTAGAACGCATTCAGTCAGTATTTATTAAGCACTGTGTACCCGGCATTGTGCCATGCTTTATGGATGCAAAGAGAGGCAAAAGACAGTCCCTGCCCTCAAGCAGCTCACAGTCTAATGGGGCAGACAACAAGCAAATATGTATAAACATACTATACACAGGATAAATAAGAAATAATTGAGAGAGGGAAGGCATTATAATTAAGAGGAGTTGGGAAAGGCTTCCTGATCATATCTGTATATTTATATGTTATTTCATCTAATCTTCACAACAATATTTCGAGATAGGTAGGGCTAGTAGTATCCCTATAGGAAGCCACTTGTCTGAAGTGGGAGGTGATATGAAATAAGGCCAGGAAGATAGTTTGTAAGTAAACTGTAGAGGGCCTTAAATACTAGGCTAAGAGGATTGTGTTTTTATCCTAGAAACAATTGCAGCCACTGATGATTCTTGCACAGGAATTGACTTTATCAGAGGTGTACTTTGGGGAGATTATTTTGGCAGTTATAGATGTAAAGGTTAGATGAGAATGGGGAGTTATTGGATGCAGGCAGAACAATTAGAAGGCTAGTATATTATAATTCAGGGGAGAGGTTATGAAAACTTGAACTAGTGTGGTTTCATGATTGCTAAGAAAGGGGTGGTTGTGACAAGGTGGGGAGCAGAATTAACAAGACAGCTGATTGGATATGGGTGATAAGAGAGAAGGAAGAGCAGAATGTAACTCCAAAGGTTTTGAGTTTATGAGTAGGAGGATCTGGTGATTTCATCACTGTCACTAGAGAAATTAAGAAAGGCTAATTTAAAGAGTTAGATGATGAGTGTAAATTTGGACATGCTACATTTGAGGTGCTGGTAAGGTATCACTGGAATTGTCCAGGAGGCAGTGGGAGAAGTGAGACTGAAACAGAGAAATGGGAGTAAGGCCAGGCAACTACATTTGGGAGTCATTTGTGCAGAGGTGATAATTGAACCTATTCATAACTGAATGGAAGGGAAGAGGAGTGAGAAAGGAGAAAGGCAATGATGACTCCTAAGTTTCCATTTTAGTTGAATGAGAGATTAGTACTGCTTTCAGAACAATGAAGTTAGAAAATAATTTAGGAGGAAAGATAAAGTTTACTTTGGGACATGAATATTGCATACAGCAAGTGCAATAGAACTTGATAGAAAAGACCAGTTTGGGCCTCAATCGTTGGACATGAGATAGACTCTGGATGATGGGTAATGTTAGGATAATTGGAGAGGAAACAGAAGAGCATTATAGAGAGGGGGGATACATAGTATAAGCAGCCAACTAACATAGGTAAAGGGCAGTTTCAAATCTAGCGGTTTAAAGATTTAGATTTTGTACAAATATGTAAAGATCACTGGTAGCAAAACAGTTTCTCATAATAACCCTTTGATTTTCAGTGTCCTGATTTAGCCTTTTAAATATCATCTGTAAATTCTTAGATATGGTATTAAGTATATGCTTACTTGATTTTTTTTTTTATTAATATCAGGACCTCTTGTAATCTGCCTCCCAAATGTTATTCCTTGCAATTACTTTAAAGGCTAATTTTCCACACACATGCTCAGCCAACAAGAAATGCCTTTTAAAAACAAAACAAACCTCTAGTCCCTAAGATCCTATTACCAAGCTGATCAGCAACCTGATAGAAGACTGCTCTTCTATCTAAACTCTGCTTAGGCTAGGTCTGTACATCACTTAAAAAATGATTCTGTTTATCCCATATGTACAGCAGATAAAGGGGAGCAGTGGGAAACAAAAAACTGTGATAGCTTTATACTGAATTGGATATTCTTGGGATGGTTTTTTAATTTGTGTTCGTTGATAACAGAGAATTATTTGGTTTTTTTGTTTTGTTTTGTTTTGTTTTGTTTTGTGAGGCAGTTTGGGTTAAATGACTTGCCCAGAGTCACACAGCTAGTGAGTGTTATGTGTCTGAGGTCACATTTGAACTCAGGTCCTCCTGACTCCAGGGCCAGTACTATAGCCACTGTGCCACCTAGCTGCCCTGATATACAGAATTTTTGAAAAGATTAAGTTGATGTGGTTTCCAAATTGGAATGAGATCAGGTATCCAAAACTATTTCCATTTACTACTACTAACTTTGAGTGATTTTTTTTTTCCTTTCTCAAGTAGTTCATTAAAACTTTAGGACTGAGTTGAAACTTCCAGAAAGTTAACACCCATTCTTTTTCCTGTAGTATTATTAGCCTTTTCTGAAAAAGTGCATTTTTATTCTAACCTAATTTGGTACATCAGAAGTAGTGAAAAAGACCACCAATGACAGGTCCAGCTGGCCTAATAGGTTCTTCCCCAAAAAACTTTTAAAATTAAAATTCAATTTATCTTCACCTGGGACCTCCTGCTCCTGACTTACACAGCAGAGAATAACCTGATCACTTTCAATCAGTTAAGTAAACATTAGGCAGATTATTAATTTATTTTTAATCCATTTTGTCAGTTTTCCACGTGTGAGTCTATTATGGAAAACCATATTTTTATTCTTGGAATTGTAAAAATTTTTAAAGCGTAACAGGAATAAGTTCTATGGATACATTTTATCCTTTAGGGATTATTGGGTCTCTAGCAGGTGTGTGATAAACAACCTTCATATCTATTATTTTGTATTGGACTATGGTTGTATTCCAACCGAAAGCAAGTGAGACTTGGTCATAAAGTTATATCTGGCTAGAAAAAACTTTCTTCCTTTTACCTTTTATCTTTTGGAATAGGTATGTTGTATTTTCTCAGGTCTCAAAAATGTGGCTAATGCTACCTTGTCTAGAGCTATAAGGAAATTTCTCTCCAGTGCTGGCATTATGTACAGCCACATCTGACCTTTTAAAAATGGTTTACACATCTAACAAAGAAAATCATAGACTAATAGCCATTCATTGATTTTCCTAAAAACCCTTTCAGTTCATACAGTGTGGGGAGGAAAGGCACATTAAAAATCTCTTTTATGGGTTGCTTTGTTGGAAAGCGTTTGGATAATTGTAAGCCAAACTCCCTCAGATCTGGCCAGGACAAGAAATCTCTGTAGACGGGGGCCCCAATTATATAACCTTTTGAAGTAACCATTATAATAAATTATTGATGCGACTTGACTACAACAATAAGGTAACCAGTCTTTTCCATTGCTTTCCCTTCTTGACCTCTAAGATAAAAAGGAACCTTTCATGATGGCGGCGGGACACTGGCTTTTAAAAGGAGGAAGAACCAGCAGTTGTGACTCCTTGATGTTCTTAGAACACCATAATAGCCTTTTTTTTTTTGCTCTTACCTATTGTACTCTTTTACACAGGTTGAATATGTGATCAAATGTGACATGTCAGCTCTACAGAAAATATTGTACCGCCATATGCAAGCAAAGGGGATTCTTCTCACCGACGGTTCAGAGAAAGATAAGAAGGTATGCAAAGAAGATGATCGCACTTAAGACGTGAGACTCTATTGTTCCTAGTGGGCTACATATTGAATAACCATAGTGGGCTTCTTTGCTGATGCCAGTTTGTGGGGTTCCTTTTGGTGCTGTTTTGGCTGACAGAAAGTCGCTCTTGTAATGAGAGAAGAATAAAAGGGAAAGCGTCGGAGCACCAACGTAGTTAGCTCATCTGTGACTGTTTTCTTAGTTACAGCTAATGTGCAGAAGTGCAAAGACTTGTGTTCTGTCTGGGTGGCAGGACGGCATATGGGAGGTTTGAAGCCCAATCACTCTGCTTCTGTCTGTTCAGACCCCTTGTGAATAACCGCTCGCATCACAAAGCCACTAGTTTGGCGCAGGCCCTGTGGCTGGGATTTCATTCTTCTGCCTGAGCTAATCACCAGGAATATGCTGTATCATAACTCACAGGCTGCTCTGTAGCACAAGAACGTGACCGCCGTGAGTTGTGATGACTATTTGGAGGACACTTGTGGCAGGCAGGCCCTTTTACCTTCAGATTTCATCGGAAGCCCCCTCTAACTGCAAATGGAGCCTTTCTTTGCTAGTGAAGATCCCCTTTCGCTTTTTCTTTGTTTTTCATTGTTAGGGCAAAGGTGGGGCTAAAACGCTGATGAACACTATCATGCAGTTGAGAAAGATATGTAATCACCCATACATGTTTCAACACATTGAGGTAAGTCTGTTCTCACTCTGTTTATAGTCGGCAGGGTGAGAAGAATTGTGTTCTGATAGACTGGAGGTCAAGAATTTGGAGACGTGACTTTGGGGGCTACGCACTTACATAGCATTCTTTGCTTTTGCATCTAGAATTCCATATGAAACAATACAGAGGAAGGACCTTGGTTTATTATTGTTGTTCAGCCACGTCTGACTCTTCCTGACCCCATTCGGGTTTTCTGGGCAAAGATACTGGAGTGATTTGCCATTTCCTTCCCCAGTTCACTTTACAGATGAGAAAACTGAGGCCAACAGGTTTAACTTGCCCAGGGTCATACAGCTGATAAGTGTCCCAGGCCAAATTTGAACTCGGGTCTTCCTGACTCCAGGCCCTGTACTCTATCCACTGTGCTACATAGGGTAGGTTCCATAAAATACCTTGCAGAAAGTAGAATTAGTAACTGTTTGTTGTGTATGAGGGTGTTACCATGAGTTAAGATGTCAAATTTGTCCAACTTCTTTATGAGAATGACATGACGATGAAAACATAATGTATTACTGTACTTGGAAAATAAACATTCTTTAAGCATAAGACATAACTTTAAACCTTTGCTTACCTTATTCTCCCTCTTTGAGATTATTTTTTCTTTCATAGTTTCTCATTACTATAAAGTAAATTACTGATTGGTTCCCAAGCCCCATTTCTCTACTACAAGCTATTTTTGGGGAAAAGAGCAATTTCAGCCATATTCACTTTATCTGAATAAATTTCCCAAACTGCCAGTAATTTACAACAGCAGGAGCTGCTGATTTCAGCAGGTTAGAAAGACAGCCACTGTTGTTTTTCCCTTTGCCAGTGAAGAAAACAGGAAGAAAAAGGGGGAAAACAGGTTTGGTTTGTTTGTTTTAATTATTTGCTCCTACAACTGTTTTTGTTGTGTAACTACCGCAGAAAGTTGTACTGAAGGATTTAGAAGAAATTCCTTGTCAAGGCTATTTGCTCCCGCTAAAGAAAAGTGAAAACTGTGCTGGTGGTGGCTGATCATTTGGACCTTAGAACATCTGGTAACATAGAAATGCTCCCAAGTATTCCAGAGAGGATTTTTCTGCCTTCCTTTTGGAAGCATTATTAATCAGCAGGATTCTTTGAATATGCCATCCACAGGGTACTTCTCTGGGGTACGGTGAAGAGTTAGAGAATGAAAAACACAGTCCCCACCTGGAGGGACATAGTTATTTTCAGCTGCCCACTAGGGGGGCACACACAAGTGCTTCCTCTTGTCATACGATGGGAGCATAAGCATCCTAAACACATAGTCTTAAACTAAATCCAAGTGGAAAGCGTGCTGGTTCTGGGGTTAAAGATCAGAGTTCAAATTCTGCCTTTGATGTTTTATACCTATGTAATCTTGGGCAAGTCACTAGACCTCCATAAGCCTCAGTTTCCTTTTTTTGTAAAATGAGGTGGTTCGATTAAGTGGTCTTTGAGGTTTCTTCTAGTCCTAGACCGAAACTTGACAGCACAGCTACTAACTATGGTGATTTAGAGAGAGATACACACACGCGTAATAATTACTGGACAAAAGAGTGAGTTAGGAAAGTGATTAGAGCAGGAACTCAACCTTTTTTTTTCCTTTTTGCTTTTTTTTTTGCTGGGCCAAGGGGTGTGCTAGAACTAGGTTGGACTAGCTCAGGAAAGCCAATTGTTAAATTTTCGCTGAGTATTGGTTGTTTTTTTTGGCAAAAATACTGGAATCGTTCACCGTTTCCTTGTCCAGCTCATTATATAGATGAAGAAACTGAGGCAAACAGGATTAAGTGACTTGCCCAGGATCATACAGCTAGTAAGTGTCTGAAGCCAGATTTGAACTCAGAAAGATGGGTCTTCCTAACTCCAGGCCTGGCACTCTATTCACTGTACCACTTAGCTACCTATTTATATCTCAGAAATGTCAAACACTTCAAACCAGGCTTGATTTATCTTTTTTCTTGACTGTCTAGACTTAATGAAGTAATGGGAAAAAAAATGTAAATAATGCAGATTAAACTTTGAAGTGTTCCATATGAACTTTTTTTTTTTCTTGAGAGGTAATTGTTAAATATTTACCAGCACACCGCTGCACAGACCCCTTTTGCAGGCTGATGAAGCCTGAGGACCTTTCTCTTGAGTAAGGTTTTTAAATACACAAAACAAAATACCCTGGATTACAAGTTCATGTACCCCAGGTTAAGAATCCTTGGCAAAGATTGGAGTCATGTGATGTTAACCTTTTGCTTACCGGATATTTTACCCCCTAGAAACCATTTCATTGAAAACTCACACTGGCTTAGGTATATCTTCCCTGAATCAATAATTACAAGGTATCAGTGCGAATTGTTCTGTGTCATAGTTGTTATAAAGTAATTTAGCATTTGTAAGTGATAACCTAAGGATGAAATAACACACCCACTGACACATACTTCCAATAGAAATTTTTATCCTGGTATATTAAAATATTTCATTTTAAATTAAAGTACTGGGAATTTAAGACATAATTTTCTATATTTTTCTTCACACACACAGCTGTTATGCACTAATGTCATGCACTAGCTAATGGGCATGCTGATGTGCGCTTTTGAATAAAAGCAGGATAGTGTAGGTCATATTTTTTTAGAGAATACTGATTCTCCATAATTCCTGTATTTTCCACTGAGGCCTTTTACTTTCCAAAGCACTGCCATATATACTATCTCTTTTGAACCTCACAATGTCTGGTAAGAAAAGGATCAAGCAGCGCCATCCAACTCTGCTAAATGTGAAACTGGCCTTTCCCGGGCACAGGGGAGTGAGGATTGCCTCACATCAGGACTTTTTCTTATGGTCAGGCCAGCTTTAATACCACCAGGGCAGAAGCTTTCTCTGAACAGTTACAACTTATGTTTAGGGAGTGTGGCTGACAGTAAAGCTAAAGGAGAAACTGCCGTGAGTAGAGTAGTTAAGGAGAGAAGAGGTAGATTGCTGCTTCTAGGTAAGTGATATCTTAGGGACATGGGATTTGGAGCAGGCAGGAGCCATAGAGATCACGGAACTCAAGTCTGTCGTTTCACACGTGAGAAAACTGAGGCTTAGGGCACTGAAGCAGACTGCTCTAGGTTATACAAGGAGTAAGTAACATTCCACTGGGGAATGCTTACCAGGCCAGAGAAGACCTTAGTTTCATTCATACGAAGACACGAAAATTATGTGAAGAAAAATACTCCTCCCTAGAACTAGAACAATGCAAATCATGTGGTTAACTACCATTTAGTTGGTATTTGACAGGCGTTTGTTGAATTGACTCTAAAGGTGGAATCAAGAGATCTGATAGTCAATCTTAAAATATCAAAATTACTTTTCCAATTAGCATTTCAGAGTTCAAGATATATGATCACTCTTTTTTTTTTATTGCTGTTACTTTAAAAAAAATTGAACATCAATTTCCTGCCCACCTTGGCACATATCTCAGTGGGGAAGGTTTGTGTTGTTGTCTGGCATCAAAGAATCAACAAACCAGTATTTAAGTACCTTCTGTGTGCCTGGTACTTTAGTGGGTACTAGGGATACCAAGACATAAATCCTCAAGGACCTCATTCTTTGGGGGAAAGCTAACATACACACATATAAGTAGGTACAAATATATGTGGATGTGTATATATATATGTTTGTGTATATGTATGTATATATTTATGTATTTATTGATATATTTATATATGTATGTATGCATATATTTATTTTGCATATGACCTGAGCTCAAATCCGGCCTCAGACACTTATTAGTTGTATGATCCTGGGCAAATGACTTAACCCCTGTTTACCTCAATTTCCTCATCTGTAAAATGGGGATGATAACATCACCTACCTCACAGGGTTGTTGTGAGAATCAAATGTGATAATAATTGTAAAGCACTTAGCTCAGTACCTGACCCATAATAAGCACCCTGTAAATGTTAATTATCATCATCATCATTATTAAAAATACATGAAAAATGAGTGGAAAAGCCCATCATACATGGAGGAAGTTGAATTGCAGAAAAGTGAAGGGCCCAAAATCACACAGGAAATTACTGCAGAGCTGTGGCTAGAATTCAAAAACTTTAGTGGTTCCATATGGATTGGTGCTACTTTTCCTTTGTATTTTTTTAAACTGTATACCAGGATAGTATGTCAAGATGAATTGACAAATAAGTTTGTGCATAGTGACACTGACCCCTATGTTCAGATGATAAGATTTAAGCTAAAAGTGTTCATCTTTTGTTCTTGTTTAAGGAATCCTTTGCTGAGCATCTGGGCTACTCAAGTGGGGTTATCAATGGGTAAGTCTAATGATTTTTTCTTTCCACGAAATCCTGTCCTGTGTTCTACTTTTCTGAATTTCTCTACACACATCGAAAATTCACTCATTTACCCTTCCCTCAAAAAATGCAAACAAAAAAAAAAGAAAGAAAATTCACTCGTCTTGAAAACCCAGATTTTTCTAGCCTCTAGTACTCCTATCTCCTGTTAGGAGCTGTAGAAGCTGTTAAATCAAATTTGCGCTCTCATTTACTTTGCCTGCATAAATTATTACTTGCCCTGGAGAAATGGCTATTTCTAGAACAAAGATCTACTTCAGTGTACTAAATAGAATCTTTGAGTTTGGAGTAAGTTGAACCTTCAAAAGATTCTTACTTATAACCCAAATGTACTTTATGGAGGATGATTATCTGTCTGATTGCATCCTAAATATATACTGAAAACTAGCCTGAGCACAAAGGAAAAACAAGTCTTTGTTCTAGAAATGAAAATTAAAGGCTTTGCAGGTATTATAGATGATGGGCTGTTTTTAAAAAAATTTAATGGACAGTGGAATCAGTCACCTATGATTTAGTCAAAAGACGGAGTTTAATATTGTTGAGTGCAGTGGGAACATTGATAGTAATATCAAGTGGTGTGATCATGGAGAGAGACCCCCAATCAACTGTTAGTGACTCGTTGTGGCACATCGTAATGGAAAAGGAAAATTGGTTGACTAGGGAATGAAATATCTGAATCCTCGGAGTTTTTTCCAGTAAACAAAACTTTTGCCTACTCCCCAAACAGAGACTTTTTAAAATGAACATGTGGCAAAACAGTAATGTAGTCAAAAGGAGGGGGAAAAATTAGTTCCTCCTCTTTTTTCTCTCCTGTGTGGAATACTTTAATGTCTTGATTACAGGCAAGAAAAGCAGTGTAATATCTGGGCCATTTCACCATCTTAAACACATGATTTTCATTGATTGGAACAAAGTAGCCTTAGTGAGAGAGATGTCTTGAGTCTTGGCATGGTGCTTGATACATAGCAAGCAAGTCATGAGATTCTTTTGGGGTGACTGACTGATGGTTGCCCTCTTTTCCTGGGACAGAGCTGAACTCTACCGAGCCTCGGGGAAGTTTGAGCTCCTGGACCGCATCCTGCCAAAGCTGCGGGCCACCAATCACCGAGTGCTGCTCTTCTGCCAGATGACGTCCCTCATGACCATCATGGAGGACTACTTTGCTTTTCGGAATTTCCTTTACCTACGCCTTGATGGTAAGTTCACAAGAAACGGACGCACAGAGTCGTGTGATCAGAAATTTGAAGGAATAACTGGCATTGAAAGTAAGCCTTTGCCAAAAAGGGGGAATGGTGGCAAAGAATTAATTTACAGATTGCTCTTGTTCTAGATGACAATTTTCACTCCTCCCAGCTTAATGTTAGCAAAATTAAAACAATTAGCATAGCTGTTCGTCCCACTAAAACTCAATCCAGATCATTTACAAATAGTTTAAAAGGTTGTGCTTAAGGATCCTCATTATCTGTCATGACCCCTAGAAGGTCTTCTGCCAAGCCTTGACATTTGCCATAAGCAGTCAACATGTTTCAAGCCTGTGAAATGCCAAATTCTGACTTGGCAATATAGAATTTCATTCTTGATTTAAGACCTTCTTTTATATGGATAAATCATGTGCTTTATAGGCCCTGCCATGCTTGAAAATACCTCTGGCATGCCAAGGCCTCCTAAGGCTCTTGGTAAACTTTTCCTTTCTCTTGCCCCCACATCTGAGGGTGGGATCAGTTTTCCCCTAAACTGAAAAAAACTATCAGAGAATGATGGGAAAACCAAAGGAAAGTGCTTCATTTTGTTGGCATTATCAATAGCAAGCCTTTGAAGCTCCTAGTAGCATAGCTTGCTTCTTTAGAAGTAGGAAGATGTCATGAGACTATTCTGTTCTCCAGGTAGCCAGGGAAAAGAGAAACCTCAACAGGAAGTTATAGGAGTGGCAGTGTAAGAAAAGCAGGCAAACCACAGTGCCTGGCTCTGTCAAAGACAAACTAGGAGGGACAATGGGGAGCCTGCCCATCCAAGAAGCATACCCACAGGCTTTAGAGTTGACCGCCCCAACTCCCTCTCCTGGACCTTTTGTCCTCCCCACTTTTCCTTGCTCCACAGACCCTACTGTGCAGAGCCTTTGCTGTGGGCCACAAGGAACAAATACCAGTGATCTGAGGGGTGCCCCATCTCCCACTGCCTGGAAAGTAGGGAAGCTCAGAGGAGGAGATCTTGATCTTGTGGGGAGAAAGGTATTCCTTGGGGCCATGAATGCATCCTCCCAACAAAGCATAATGACACAGGTTGTCTACACAAGCCCTGTAGTACTAATACGACACCATATGGCAAGTCTATCATAGGTTAAATTGTCTTTCGTGGACTTATCCAGCAGCCTACCCTACATTGTTAACATTGTAAGTCTGTTGTTTGGCACTCAGAGCACATTTTCCCACAAGAACAAGCAAATTTTTTTTTTCTGGATACAAAATGATCTATATTTTAAGATTGGACAAGTCTACATGGCCCTAAGAAGATGGATCTATTGCTTCCAGTGTTATGCCATCAACCTAAAAGGATGTCAAACTCAAAAAGTAAAATGAAAACTCTTGGTTATTGAAATCATAAAGAGGATTTGAAAAGATATTCCCCAAATTGTTAAATGACTTTGGAAATAGCTATAATGAAGATCAAGGAAATAAAAATTTTCAAAATGAGTGGGATGTTTTGTGAATCTGAGGACTGATTTAATAATGGTACACGATTTTATGTTGTGGGGTTAGGGTTTAGATTTAATGCCAGAATATAATGCAGTAAATTACAGTTTTTACATCAAAGAATGAAATTGATCAACAATTTTGGGGCAGGCATGGACTGATTTCATTGGTGTCAGAAACTCTCAAAGAGTGAACTCCTTCTGGAAATTAGCATCCTGAGAAGTCATTTGACTACTCAGTATCCTAGCCACTAGGATAGGAAAATTAGGAATAGGAAAGGAAAATTAGGAAAATTACATATCTTCACTTGTACTGTTGTTGTTGCTTTTCCTCTTTTGGCCTTAATACATTTAATTGGCTGCCTCTTTTATCTCATTGATATTTTTATTTAGTTAACTTAGTTATTAGAATTCCATAGTTTAATGTCTGTAAAGAGGAAAAGACATAGTCTTTATCAAGATGAAACTTGAGGTATCTTTTCTTCTTAGGGTAAATTTCCTTTCTATTCATCCCTAGGCAAGATTCCTCTTTTGTGTGTGTGTGTGTGTGTGTGTGTGTGTGTGTGTGTTTTATTGACAAAAATCAATGGTTAAAAAAATTAATAAATGGTAAAAAAAAAAAACAAATAAAACCAGTGATCTCATACCTATTTCACATCCTCCCTAAGAAACCCCTGAAATTTCTGTTTTCACTATCAGGTTGTTAAGTGGCTGATTTAAAGGATTTAGTTTAAAGGATTTAATAGGACTCTTCATTTTTTCCTTTATTTTTTACATAGGATTTGATACTGGTTCTTTTCCCTGCACCATAGCTATTTGGGATATATGTACACACAGGAAAGATTCCTAGGTCAGATGACACCTCTATTAAATCTGGCTTCACAACCTTTGTAGCTGTGTGACCCTGGGGAAATCATTTAACCTTTCAGAAACATTAATTTCCTCATTTACAAAATGAAGATATTGAAACCTGTAGTATTTATCACACTGAGTTTTTGTCATGAGGATTAAATGAGAGAACATATATAAAGTGCTTTGTAAATGTTACCATGTTATAGAAATGTCAGCTATTATAAAAATATCAGTTACACAGTGCCTGACACAGTCAGTACTTAGTGTCTATTGAATGAAAGAATAATTGTGAATACGATGTTAACTTGAAAATATTAATTTTTATTATTTTTATTCTTTTAGTTAGTAGATCACATTTCCATTGATGGTATATGTTCAAGAAATGAAATAACAATAGCATTGAGGAAATGTGTGATCAAAAATGCCAATATATTAATTTTTAAAGGCATGTCATAAAGTTCAATTACAGCCTAATACCATTCTTCGAGTATTTTCATTTAATATCTTGCATATTTTCTAGCTTTTAATCGCATCTTTTCCTTAAAAGCTAATAGTTACCCTCTTGCTAGGGACTCTGCATTTTAAGGAAATTCCTTCATTAAATCTGATACCTTTTCATATTCTGTGAAGTGTTGTGGTACCCAGTAATTCATAACACTTCATCTTTTCCCCTTCACAAACACTTTATACACCCAATTCTTTACCACATAATGTCACTAACAAGTTATTTTTGGATCCCTTCACTCTGAAAAAGGGGGCCCTGGGAATGAACTCTTCCAGAAGGAGAGAAACCTGTTTCCTTGCTTTACTTGAAACAAAGGTTTTAATGTCTCAGAGGCAGCTGGAGGGATTTCTCCCTCTGCAGTCCCAGTCCAGTTGAACAGTTTCCCAGAACTATATACATTTTCTCTAGGATCTAGGATTTCCCTATCCTACTGCCACTTCTCTCTTAATACCTGGCCAAAAGTTCTCCCCTTTGGTAAACTAAATTAGGGGAACCAAAGAAAGGAGATCACGTTTGAGAAATATTATAATCTGCCAAGCTTCATCTAAGCATTTCAGATAGCCCACGTCTCTGGAAAGGTACGTTTGTTTGTCTAGCGTGGAATTTTAAGTGGATATATTTAGTAGGTAATACAAAAGCATCTAAAATTAAAATGCTTTATATATGCTAATATAATTCTTCCTGAGACTTTATTCAGGAACTTTCTGAAGTTTCATATTCTAACCTAAGAAAAAAGTAATATTAAGAAGCTAAAGCTAAATACTTATTCCTATTATTGTCTTCTCTTGCAAAAATGAGTGAGTTTTCAGATAACAATGAAAAACCAGTTTAATATTTATTTTTATGGAAACAACTATTAGATATCCCAAAAGTCTCAGTGCAGTTTCAAACAGTTAGATTTTTGGTGTCCCAAACTTAAAACTGTGCTGAGACTTTTGGGGCATCCTGTACATGGTTCACTCCCATACACTTTCTAATATCCTTCACAGATGTGGCCACCGTTTCTTTGGCCGCGTCAAATGTCTCTTTGTAATTGGATATGTCCTACATCACAAAGTATAAGAACAACAAAAGAAATCTGCTTTTACTAAGCATGTTATATCCTTTGCCACCTATAACAAGCAATTAGGTCTGGATGACATTCTTACATGGTAAATGGCATCTTCCTTGAAAATGATACAGAAGAGTTGATTATCAACAAAGATCCTCACCTAGGATTCTGTTCTGCCATCTGCATTTGTCAAGGATGCCTAACCTGAGCCTCGTAATAAGACGCTATGGCTCTGCATTATAAGGGATTAAGTAAGATTTTTTTCAGGTTTTACATTTAAAGTTTTGTTCTGGTTATGTCTGTCATAAAATATGATAAAACTCTTTGCTTCTCCTGATTGGCACTAGGCAGAAAAATTTTGGAATTCCTCTTTATTTTTCAATCCTTATGTCTCCTTATGGAGAACCTATTGGCAGCTTTGGTAGAAAAATCTAGTTAGTTTCATTTTAGCCATATGCACTTTACCCATACCGTAATTTATCTTTTATTCAATATTTGATTCTAATACAAGCCAGATGAACTTTTGCCCTTTCACCCGCCTCGATGCATAGTTTTTAATTCCTGCTTCCAGAAAACAGATGTCATTGTCTCTAAAAATGTGTGTTTGTGTGTCTGTGTGAAATAACATCTTTCACCATTTATCACCTCTTACAAAGCCAGCAGCATTGACCCAAACACCTCTGAATATTGAAAATGCATCCTGTTTATTTATTTTTTTATGCAGTTGGGGTAAGTGACTTGCCCAGGGTCACACAACTAGTAAGTGTTAAGTGTTTGGTCTGAGGCTGCATTTAAATTCAGGGCGGTATTCTATCCATTGCACCACCTAGCTGCCTCCACCCCATTTATTTCAAGCATTGTTCAAGACAACAAATACCACCAAAGAATTTAGGTAACTCCTTGGAATTTATGATAAAAGGATTTGAGCTCAATCAATCAATCAAACACTTTATTAAGTGCCTACTCTAAGTCAGACACTGTGTTAAGCACTCATCTTTAAATATTAATTATCTTAGAGATGGTAAACTGAGATTTAGAGACAGGTGATTCACTAAATAAGACTCCCGTTCTAAGCTTTTCTCACTGAAAGCAGTGTTTAGAATTTTCTTTCCCATTATGGTACTTTTAATCTTTACTAAATAGTGAGAACAGAAATAATAAGCAACTAATTGTGATTTCTGTATAGTTGTGATCTTGACTTTGATGGTAACTTGATTCTTTAAGTTTTAGTCTTTAGGTATTTTATTCCTTAATCATTTTTTTTACTTTAAATAGAAGTTTTGTATAGAAAACTGTGTACTGTAATATAACTCACAATAATATCTTCTAATAACCTACTACTATTTTTTTTTCTGCCCAAAGATAGTCACATGGAGGTAGAAGACAATTGTGTCTTGAGATTTTAGGAACACAACACTTTAGATTTTTTTTCCCAAGTTGCAAAATAAGATACGGGCAGAAATGCCTTAACTTTATAGTTACACTTTTTTAAACTGTAGATAATAGACTAGATGTATAAGAAGGCCCTAGATGCTGGGGAATGCTCTCTAGACCAGAATCAGGGGAGGTAGAGCTCAAGGTTCATTTTTATCATTTACCTGCTGTGGGCCCCAGGCTTAACCTGTCAGAGTCTGCATGTCCTTATCTATAAAATGGAGATTATAATATTCACACTACTGATCTCACAGAAAAAGCTATTGCTTATTTCTCACCCCCCCCCCAACCCAGGACTTGCTTTCCCTACCTTCCACCCCTGAGTGACCTTTTGAAAAACATATCAAGAATCTGTAATTCCATATCTAGGCAAATTATAGCCCATTTACAATAAATAAACATGGACACTTATTTGAGACTCAGAGACAAATGACTTTTATAAGTACACACAGCTAGCAAATACCAGAATAAAATTAGAACTCAGGTAACTCAAGATTTTTTTTCCTATATATTTTAAAATATATTTGCTTTAAAATATGTTGACTCTATTGGTAATACAAGATAACAGAAAAGATCATAATGTTTATGACTTGGAAGAGAGTAATGCTGCTGTCCTGGACAATCCACATCTGAAGAATTGTGTTCAGTTTTGGGCACCACATTTTGGGAAGGATGTTAGTAAGCTGGAGAGTGTCCAGAAGAGGGTGACCAAGATGGTAAAGGCCTGTGGAGATCATGCTTGTGAAGACAGGTTGAAGGAACTGGGAATATCTATACTAGACAAGAGAAGACACAGAGAAAAAGCTGTTTTCAAGTATTTTTTTAAGGCAATTGGGGTTAAGTGACTTGCCCAGGGTCACACAGCTAGTAAGTGTCAAGTATTTGGTCTGAGGCCAGATTTGAACTCAGGTCCTCCTGACTTCAGGGCTAGTGCTCTATCCATTGCACCACCTAACTGCCCCTGTTTTCAAGTATTTTGAAGGGTGCTTGTGGGCCATAGACTTGTTATGCTTTGCCTTAGAAGGTAGAAATAAGAATATGGGGTAGACACTGCAAAGAGGCCAATTTAGAGTTGACCTAAGGAAAAACTCTCTAACAGAGCTGTCCAGAACAGAATGGGTCACCTTGGGAGATAATGAGATGCTTTTTACTGGAGGTATTCAAGAAAATGCTGGCTGACTGCTTATGAAGTCAGCAAATATTTATTAAGTGCCTACTGTGTGCTACACACTATGCTGCTTTCTGGGGGTACAAAGAAAAGATTCTTGTGTTGTATGTTGTAGAGAGCGTTCTTGTTCAGATACGGGTTGGACTTGGCTTCTGATTTCCCCTCTAACTTTGAGATTCTGTCATTTGAAGTCAAGTATTTCTGTATAAGGAGGTGTGGGTATGGTTTGTTTTGTTTTATTTTAAATTTTGCACAATTTTAAAAACTTCACTCAATTGGAAAATTCCTCTTCCTCCTCTCTTCTTCTATTCTCCATCAGGTACCACAAAATCAGAAGATCGTGCTGCCTTGCTGAAGAAGTTCAATGAGCCTGGCTCACAATTTTTCATTTTCTTACTAAGTACCAGAGCAGGAGGCCTGGGCCTGAACCTTCAGGCAGCTGATACTGTTGTCATCTTTGATAGTGATTGGAATCCTCACCAGGTGTGCACATCTTGACTTATTTCAATGCTTCAGCATCCGTGATGAGAGCAGAGTAAAGAAAAGATCAATCTTAGCTATTGTCTGCCTGGGACAAAGCAGGAGGAAAAATGACAGAGATACCAACAGATAGAGAGATCATCTTTGCTAGGGGAAACCTTGTAACACTGGTCAGTAGTGGCGTGAATGATCTTTGGAGAATCAAGTCAGAGACACATAAGCACAGTTTCTTCTTAGCCTTAGCATCCATTGCTTGCTATCTTCCTTGCCAAAGTATGCTCTGTGATTTGTTTACAAGAATTGTCAAAGGCAAGGTTTTTTTTAAAGTTCCGTTTTTTAAAATACCATACTTAAGTTTTGTCCCGTGTTATTTTATCTAAGCAGGATTATGGTTATCCTCTTTATATTGTAGGTGGGTGGGACAGGGAGATTGTTGCTACTTTTTAATAGAATACCGGCACTGCAATTTTGAGTTGTTAAATTATATTTGCCGATTCTAAAATACCTAATTTTAAAAGTCAAAAAGTCTTCCTCAACAAAATATTCTTTGGCATACAGTAAAGAACTGAATTTTCAAAATGGTTTTGGGATTGCTACCATTTTATATTCAGGTCAATTTGCTATTACTTGAGCTCACCTCACCACTCAAAATTGCAGCTTCTTAATTGCTACCCTTTTAATTTAGATAGTCAGTTAATCAATGAGCATTTATTAAGGGCCTGCTGTGTTCCAGGCAGTTTTGTAAGTGCTGGTCTAGTTGCTTTCTTCCCTTGAATAAAGTTCACTAGATTTTACCTTTTTTAATAAACATCTCTAGCTGACCAGTCTGGTATGCTAGATCAGCTCTTTGGAGCCAACTAAAATCAGTTACTCAAAACAGTGTTTTACCATGGAAAAGAATGTCAGAGAATTTTTTTTGGGGGGGGCAATTGGGGTTGAGTGACTTGCCCAGGGTCACAAGCTAGTAAGTGTCAAGTGTTTGGTCTGAGGCCGGATTTGAACTCGGGTCCTCCTGCCTTCAGGGCCTCTGCACCTCTATCAGCTGCACCCTAGCTGCCCCGAGAGAACCTCTATATCAGTCTGTAGCGCTATTAAAATTTCATGGATAGGGCTTTTGTGAGCAAGATCCAAAGGTGAAAGAAAACTCAGAGTGATGAAATAGAAACTCTAAACATCAACTGTTTTACTACCTGCTTAGCTTCAGGTTAATGAAAATAACACCTAGGCAGTGAATGTGTCAACATGACTGGGACCAAATATTGTACTTTAAACAGTTCACTGGCAGTTTCCTCCATTACACTGGGAGATGAGTGCTACCTATCTCTCTGTTCTAGCCCATTCATTTAGAGTAGATGTGGTCACCTGAGATATGGTCACCTAAATTCTTTAGGATCCAACTGAATCATCAGTAATCATATGTACCTAACTTTTGCTTTAAGCTATATTTAAAATTCTTTTTTCAGAACTTAATTAACATAGTGGTGCTGATGAATAGCATTTTACCTTTAAATTCAAGAGGTATCAGGACTGATAACAATTAAAGCTGATTTGTGAAAAATGACTGGGGTTGCTCTCAATATTTTCTTGAGGAATGAGCTTATATTAGCAAATTAAGCTACCAAGAAAAATTGACTGGGAAGACCTTACTAGCAGCAGACTCATGCCCAGGAAAGTTTCCACTATCTTTCTTAAACCCCTCACAATCCCATTTCCAACTTTGCTGTTGTTGACAAGATCAACTTACGTACATTATTTTAAAAATTGGGGGATATTTCAGGGGCAGCTAGGTGGCACAGTGGATAGAGCACTGACCCTGAAGCCAGGAGGACCCGAGTTCAAACATGACCTCAGACCAAACTTTTGACACTTACTAGCTGTGTGACCCCAAAAAACAAAAAACAAAAAAAAAATTTAAAAAAAAGACAAATCCAATAAAAAACTGAAGCCAGTCTTATGCGTGCCATGTGCTTCTTGCTGCCTTGAAGCCCCACTTAACCCCAGTTGCCTACAAACTTAAAAAAAATAGGAAAAAAAATTGGGGGATATTTCAGAACCTTTAAAATATATATGTGAAAGGCACACATGTCATAGGATGCTTAATCTAAAGGGGACCTTCAAAGGTCAGCCTTTACTCTGTCCCAACACCTTGGAGCAGCATCACACCTAAACCAATTCAGACAGGTATGACCATTCTGTTGCTAGGTTCCCAAACTGTTCATTATAATGTTTAACAAGTTTTGTCTGTCAGGACCATCTTCCTTAAGTCTAGTTTAAATTCCACACATTGTAATGTTAAGCCAACTCCCTCTTCCTTTTGTCTTATTTTACAGAGTAAATAAATGCTGGTCATAAAATGTGCACTTGGCAAATGTTTCATGAGGGAGTAAACAGTCCTAGTTCTTTCACAAAGACCAAAAGGCAATTGCAGCCAGCTCTTAGTTATTCAAGGCTAATTAGCCAGTTTGTGGATTACTCACACCCGCCTTTGCTGCTTGCATTTTAACCCTTTCACAATTTATTAGCATCCTCTAGTGGATAAGTAAGGGTGGAAGAGACCCTGAAATTAGCCATAGTGGCTGTTTGCTAGGAGTCCTGTTAAAGAATTGATCATGAAGGGGAAGATTGAAGTATTTGCTAAAAGTGAAGGATTTTTTTTTCTGGATTTCCGTTTTCCAATATACCCTTTAGTAAAATAATTAAAAGTTGATCGTGTACCAACTGTGCTCATGCTTGAGCACCATCATATTTATATTCACATTTTCAAATAATCTTATGAAAACATTTTTGCCTAATTAGTCACTTAATTAAAGTCTCGAAATCAGAAATAGCATCAGCAGGCTTTTTGTATTCTTTGGCAAAATGCAGAAGATTTTGTTGTTCAATAGTAAGACCAAATAAAGTATGCCCCAAAATTCTAGAAGGAGGCCTGGTTTTAAAAGCACTCTGGACACCCAGTTTTATGCTTTCCTTTGCCACAGTTGTGATAGTGCCCTCTCAAAATACCTGAATAATTTGCCACAGTTGTTGCACAAAATGATCCTCATATAGTTTAAATTCCTTAGTTATAGCATAACTGACTGCTCAGGGTAGTAATACCTCTATTAATGAAGGGGTTTCCCCACAGACTCCTTTCTTTAAGTGCACACTTTCTTTTCCGCAACTGTTAAAAAAATTTTTGATATCTTTTGTTTTTACATCATCTTCATTTCCAAATATATCCTTCCTCCTCCCATTTCTCTGAGACATAGAAATATAGGCAATATAAGCATAAGTGCCTCTATTCTAGGATAGCAGCTGGGAGAGCTTACTATCAGAAGATACTTGATGTCAGGTTTTTTTAGGCGTATGCCTTTCCCATTCAGAACTTCATACTGAGGTAAAGGTATTTCTCATATATCTTATTGCATAATATGAAGTCATAAGCTCAAAACCAAAAATTGCCCTTGGCAGCACGTGGCAGCATGGTATCATTGAAAGATTTGGAGTCAAGTACCTGTGTTTAGTTCACATCTCTGTTACTTCTGCCCTATGTGACCTTGGCAAGTCAACTGACATTTGTGCCTCACTTTCCACATCTGCAAAATGAGGTGCTTGGATAAAATTATCTGCAAGGGCCCTTCCAGCCTGAATTTGCAAACTGCTAGGAACTCCTGGAGATAAAGACTGGTCAAAGTGCCCTTCTACAGAGACCTGTTTTCTAAACCCTGCATCCATTTAAACATAGCCTTGTTTAGCTTAAAACTAAATTTCCTCAGATCCAATCTCCTTCAACCGGTGACTGCCAGTGTGAAAAGACATTATTGTATCTTTTTTCACATGCCAGTGACCACCAGGTATTTTGGACACACTTTAAAAAGTTTATAGGCCACACATTACCATACTTTTCCTTTAAATATCAGCTCATTTGTTGAGGAGCCAGAGAGAGGGATATAACATGGCATATTGTTGTCTTGAACAGGATTTGCAGGCCCAAGATCGAGCTCACCGGATTGGCCAGCAAAATGAAGTCCGAGTGCTTAGACTCTGTACTGTAAACAGCGTGGAGGAAAAGATTCTTGCAGCAGCCAAATACAAATTAAACGTGGATCAGAAAGTTATTCAAGCGGGCATGTTCGATCAGAAATCTTCAAGTCATGAGAGGAGGGCTTTTCTGCAGGCTATATTGGAGCATGAAGAAGAAAATGAGGTACTGACCATAGACAAATCATTCTTCATGAAATTAAAACAGTGACCTTTTGTCTTTATTCAAAACAGCCCCTTTATCTTTAAAGTAAATTCTAGGGTTGATGTTAATTAAGCCAGATTAAAGTAGTTGCAGCTTTGTGTTCCAGATGCAAAGACTTGAAAATTATCCAGTTTGTTTATCAAAATTTGCTACTAGGTTCAGAAAAGAACAATTTCAGGATTTGGCTGGTTAACCTTTAGTTTAAATTTCACTTAACTCAGGCTGATGGAATAGTACAATACATTTTGTAAATCTCTCATTTGGACTGCTGCCTCCTGGAGGCCGGATGGAAAACTGCAAAGTAGGTTACTTGTTAAAAAAATAATAATAATGATGATGTTCAAAAAGACAAAAGTTTTTAGGGTTCTTCTTCCTGGGAAGAGAGGAAGGTTTAAAAGTAATTTTCTACCCTGGACATCTAGGTGCCATATCTCCTATAAACTCGGATAGTATATAAAAGAAACTGTCTACCTTCTATCAAAATAGGATTCTATCCTGGTACTACACAAATCTTTTGCATACTGCTTTGAATAAGCATATTCCATCAGATATCTTTCCTTTCCTCAAAAACAAAGAACAAATCCAGTCATCCTTTCCCAGTAGATCTCTGATCCAATGGAGAATATTAATAGAAAGATCTTCTATTTTGATCATTGTTAAGTAAAAGTAATAGACAGAAACTGACTATTTGAGCCTAAAAGAACATCAGCATGTGAATAAAATAATGCAGTATGTTTTACAATCTTTAGGTTCATCTATACTAAGTAAATAATACCTGAGACTTCCATTTTCATTATTCCACAAGAGCTAACCTGTGTAATGTACTCTAAATTCAAAGGCCAAGTAATTCACTGCATGAATAGAAACAGTTGAAAGGGACCACCGAAGCTGTCCAGGCCAATCCATACCTGCATAAGAATCTACTCTCCAATAAATCTAAAAAGTAGTCAGCTTTTTTGCCTAAAGATTTTCCAGTGAATGAGAACCCACCACCTTCCAAGGCTGCCCGATAGTATGTTTTCCCTTATATCAAAATTTGGGCAGTTTATAAAACTGTAACTTCTGCTGATTTCTTTTACTTCCTCTTATACATGGCAGCCCTTTGATTACACGATGATACTTATTAGGGGCAGCTAGGTGGTGCAGTGGATACAGTGCAGGGCCTGGAGTCAGGAAGACATCTTTCTGGGTTCAAATCCAGCCTCAGACACTTACTAGCTGGGTGACCCTGGGCAAGTCACTTAACCCTGTTTGCCTCAGTTCCTCATCTGTAAAATGAGCTGGCCAGTATCTCTGCCTAAAAAATTCCCAAATGGGATCATGAAGAGTCTGAAACTACTGAACTAAAACAACCTTCTGTTATCTTCCTCAGGCTAAACATCTTCAGCTGGGCCCCATATGACGTGTACTTAAGGACTTTCATCATCCTGGTTGCCCTTTTCTGAACACTTTTCAGTATTTTTTATTAGAGTTTTCCTAAATGAGGCACCTGGGACTGAACTAACAGAGTAATCCACATGTTGTCTGACCAGGACAGAGTACAGTGCCACTCTGGCCTCTCTGAGCTTGGACTTGTTTCTCTTATCGCAGCCTAAGCCACCTATCACACTGTCCTACCACACTGGTGACTCATGCTGACCTTGCAATCAACTTAAACCCAAGATTGTTTGCTGACGACTTGCTCTCTAACCATGCTTCACCTTCCTCTTTCTTGTGAACTTGTTTTCTGAGCCTAAATATAAGATGTATTCCCTTTAAGTTAAATCTTACTCAGGCAAAAAGTTATAGCTCAGTAAGGTCACTTTGAGTACTGACTGTTAATAATAAATAGTCAAAAAACATTTACTGAGCAGCTGTTCTATGTCAGTCAGGCACTGTGCTAAGTGCTAGGGATATAAATTTAAAAAAAAAGAAAGAAAGAATGAATGAAAAATAGTCCTTGTCCGTGAGGAGTTTATAATTTAATAAAGGAAGATAATACCCAAGAAGAAGTTGAAAGGGGAAGTGTCGTAGGGTACCTGGTCCCCGGGGGCATGTCTCATGGCTATTGAAAATGGGAAATGATGGGATGGCTGGAAAATTCTGAGCCCTCCATAAAGAGAGGCTTTGGGAAGGTTTCTTGTTTTACCCTCCAACCCTCCTTTTTTTTTTTGAGGGGAGGGGCAATTGAGAGTGCTAAGGAGATGTTGGGTATCAAAGCTGAAGCAGCCTCCATGACAGCATTCATGGAGTGGAAATCAAGCAGAGCAGGTGATGGGAGATGAAGAGTCAACAAGTCTTGTCCCCGAGCGAACCAACTGTCCCTGCTAGCATTGTGTCTTCTGGAAATCTGAGAAACGTTCATCTGTGCCTTTGTTCAGGTCATTGAGAAAAATGCTGAAAAGCACGGCTCCCTAGAGTACTCTCAGCTAGAATCTTTCCAGTCTGACCTTCAACCAAGATCCAAATCTACCTAATTGTACTGTCCTCTAGCTCACCAATCTCCGTCTTGACTGCAAGACTAGTATGATAGACTTTGTCAAATGTCTTCCTAAAATCTAGAAAAACGAGCTGCAGAATTCTTGTGTTAAGTAACCCTGCGAAAAAGGAAGTTACCGTGCATTAAGTTTGTGATAACTGCCTCTTTTCTAGATGTTCTGAATCATTTCTTTACTAATACGTTCTAGATTTGTTTTTCCTGGAACATTAAACATTTTCATTGGTCTATGATTTTCAGAGTATGTATTCTTTCCCATTTTGAAAATCTAAATAAGATCTATGCTTCTCCAGTTCCATGATACCTCCTTCATTCTTCACAATTTTTCAGACAACATTGACGTTAACTCAGCATTTCCATCTCCCAGGATGTAGTCTGAACCGGGTCTCAGCTGGGTGACCTGAGCTCATCAGTGGCAGCTAAGTGCTTTCACATCCATACTTATCTTGAGTATCACTTCCTTATTAGCCATTTTTGTTCAGTCCTTTCCAATCTGAACCATTCTTCCTGAAAGAGAAATGAAACAACCAAGACAGTGTAGTAGATAGAACACTGAGCCTTGAGTCAGGAAGACCTAAGTTCAAATCCTGCCTCAGACACTGTGTGCCGCTGGGCAGGTCACTTAACTACACTGTGCTTCAGTTTTCTCCACTGTAAAATGGGGATAGTAATAGTTCCTTTCTCCCAGGGTAGTTGGGAAGATAAAATAAAATATTTGTTAGGTACTTTGCAAATCTTAAAGCGCTGCATAAATGTTAGCTATTATTAAACGAAGATGAGTTGAGCAGCTTTGCATTCTTTCCACGATTAGTAGGCCTGTCCCCCTTTTTTTCTTTTGCCCTTTCTATTTCCCCCAGTATATTTTTTAAAATCCTTTTTCTTTAGCTTTCTTTGCCAGCCTCAGCTCACGTGATATTATTCTGACAAGACCATGCCATGCTTCTGGTCAGTTATGTGGCAGAGTGGGTAGAGAGAGCACTACATTGTCTCACCTTGATTACATCTTCCTCATATGTCTTTAAAATCTAAGTTGGCTAGCGAGTCATGTGTCTCTTGGTACCTTCAGAACTTTATTCTTGAGAACTTCCCTTCTCTCTGGTGCTGGTTGTTAGATTTTAGTTCCTAGCTTCCTACCCATCCTCATAGCCTTTTGAAATGTGTTCTCCTAACATCTAAGATGCATGTCATAATTTCCCAAGCCTTCCCTCTCCTTCTCTGTCACAAATTTCAAGATAGCCATTGCTTCCACCTATCTTACTATTTCTACCCCAGAAACCAGCTTCTTTTTGTTGATAAGGATCTGATTCAAAATAGAATTTCCCCTTGAGGATTTCTTCACCTTATGAAGGATAAAAATTATCATTAAGGTGAGTCAAGAGATTATTAATTGTACTGCTTTTGGTAGAGATTGTTCCAATAGCTATCTACTTCAGTGACCTCCAAAATGGGGACTGGGAGCTGCTGCCTCAAGTAGGTATGTGATCATCTAACTGGAGAGTAGGAAGAAAGGTGGCATATTGTCCTCACTATGGTAGCCAAACTTGGGGCCCCTCTTCAGACAAGCTGTGGGCAAAGCATTGTGCTAGGGAGCATAACGTTCTATATCATGCTGGAAACATAAATCATAATATACCTTATGAAATTAATATTTACCCAAATCATGAATATACCATATTAAAAGAAATTTTGGACCATATATGTATATATTCTGTTTTTCTGTAGATATATGTTCATATGTATGTGTGCATATGTCTACGTATGTATGTATAGATGTATAGGTGGAAATAAGAGATTTAGATATAGTTGTACAGATGCATAGATAAGAGACTGACTAAAATCCCTTCAATACCTGCTTATGCTCTGAAGTGGAGGACATAGCTCTCTATTATGCACCTTTACACATTTTCAGAAGTAGGCTACCCAAACCTCCTTGTGGCTTAGTATAAGGCAACGCAGATCCTACATGCTTTGAGCTTGGGTTCCTCATTACACAGTAAGTAGCCTTTATTTCCTCAAAGGTCTCAGTGTAGTTTTAAGCCATTGAAGCTCAAAAAATGCACTGAGGTTTTGGGATTCCCTACATTTAGGAAGGGGCTTTGTCTAGGACTCTGTACTGTAAATATATTTATTTCATTCTAAATAGTAGATATATGTGGTGGTGTTACATAAAATTAAAAATTTTAAATTAAATCCTATTTTAAATGTGCTTGTAATAGCAGAAAGAGCACGAAGAACGGAGTCAGAGAACTTGGGTTCATATCTCATGTTTTCTACTTATGACCAGTGAGACATTGCAATTCCCTTCCCTTCAGGGGCCTCCATTTTTACCTCTGTAAAAGAAGGCAGTTGTACAAGACAGTCTCTAATGCCCCTTCCAGCTTTAAGTCATATAAATTCTGAAGTCGAACCCTTTCATAAGACATGTGACCTTAACCTCTAAATCTAACAGATTAGATTGTGAGCTCTGCATTTTCAGCTCTCAGTT